TCTTTGTAAAATTTCTTTCTGAGATTTTTATCTTTACTGGCTTTGGTTTCTTTTCTCTTCTTACCAATTTCTACGATTTCACCTGAGAAGAAAGTTTGAGAAGAAAATTTGTTTTTTATCTGTTTCTTCATGTTTGGTAGTCTCTTCTCATATTCATCCTTAACAACTTCTTTATGTTCATTCCATAATTCCTATGCTTCTGTATCAGTGAGGTTCAGGACTTCAAAGCATTTCTTAAAATGATGGGTTCAAGATTGTGGAAACTGACTAGCTTTCTTCTTCTTTAGCTTAACTTGCAGCTTGCATATAAGAAATTTGTGATACGATCACAGTGATTACCTAGTCTTTGATGGTATAAATTTCTGTATATTTATCTGGTGATGTCCATTTATGGAGGCATTGTGTTGGTTTTGTTGAAGGTAGTGTTTGCTATGCAGAAAACTTTGGAATGGCAGAAATTGATTAGTCAGCCTCTTTCTTAAGTTTAGTTTCCTAAGCAGTGGTATGCGTATGAAGGGTTGAAAAGCACTGTTAAAAAAATGTAGAAGTGTAGTGGGGGTGATGAGCTAAAGCGACGGTGGCGCCACATAGGCCTGTGGGAGAGTCAACTGGAGCTGCGATGTTGTCAGAGCTCTGCTGAGCACCCAGGATCAGCATGGCACTCCCACTGATTGGTACACAGCTCCAGCTGGTTGGTGCTTCTGGGAGCAGAGTGCAGCCTTGTGGAGGAGGAGTCAGCTGGAACTGCACCAAATAGAAAAGGAGGAGGAGGCGGAGAGAGGAGAGGATATAAAAGGAGGAGGTTTTGGTGGGAGAGGGAGAGGAAAAAAAAGATGTTGGGGAAAGAGAAGGGGATGGAGAAAGAGAGATGGAGGAGAGGCTTTTTTGAGATAAGCAGATGGAGAGAAGGTGATAGAACAGTGCAAAGATTAAAGTCAGAAAAACAGGCACAAGTTTCCCATTAAAAATGTGGTAAGTGAGTATATAAGTAGTCCTCAACCTACGACCACAATTGAGCCCAAAATTTATATTGCTAAGTGAGAAATTTGTTAAATGAGTTTTATCCCATTTTATGATTTTTCTTGCCATATTTGTTAAGTGAATCACTGCAGTTGTTAAATTAGTAACACAGTTGTTAAGTGAATCTGGTTTTCCCATTGACTTTGCTTGTCAGAAGGTTGCAAAAGGGGATCATATGACCCTAAAACATTGCGACCATCATAAATATGAATCAGTTGCCAAGCATCTGAATGTAAATCACGTAACGCTGGGGATGCTGCAATGGTCATAAGTGAGAAGAATGGTCATAAGTCACTTTTTCAGTGCCATTGTAACAGTCACTAAGTGAACTGTTGTAAGTCTAGGACTGCCTGTACTTTATCACTTTTTTTTCCTTTTTTTGTCATCAAGTTTTTGACACCTTGCTAAGCGACTGATGGTACTCGAATATTGCCATATCCTAAAAGTATTACAATTTGTGAAAACTTTGAAAAGCACTGACCTAAACCATACAGTCAAACATTAACCAAGTTAGATGTCCATTACCGGAGTTGAGGTTACATATGTTTCCATTGAAACAATGTATATTTAGTATTTCATTTTTTGCTCTTTAACTGGATACCAGTGTCAAGGAACCTATTTAGCCAATAGGTCCTAACTTACTCAGAATTATGTAGTGAAAGTAATTTAGATAGGACATTTTTTTTATCTTGCTTTAGAAAATTTTTGATCAATAACAAAAAAAATTCTTGTGAATGTTTGCTAGTATTACCATTTGAAAAAATACATTTATGACTATATTTGCAACTGTATTTTCAATATTATTTATTAACATATGAAACTGATTTTAAGAAAAAATAAAAATGAGAGTTTTTTTTAATTTTCTCACCTCCTCTTCTTTCAAATGCTTCCCAGAAATCTCAAACTGTTTGTGAGAGCCCTAGTAGTTGTAGTGCCATTGAATGGCAGTGGGAGCAACAATCTCTTCTAGGTTTTTTGGGGGTGGGGTTCCATTTTCTTTATACACAACGTGCAGAAACTTTCATCTTTAGAACATTTAGTAGCTACCTCAGTTAGTGACCATTCACAAATATATCAGTAATAAAGAACCCATTTTTCAACTAATGTACTTATTTATGACCAAATTTTGTATGCCTGACAGAAACTCATGCCAGAGTGAGAGTAATGCTATTATAGTTGTTAAAGAACTTTATCTGAATGAGACCGTCTCTTTCCCTTTTGAATGGAATGTGATTGCTAAACAAGTGAGACAAAAAAACAAATGATAATTATATTCTATCTATGCATTTCTCTAGAGCAGACATGTCAAACTCGCGATGTCATGTGACATCACATGACGTATCAGAGCTTTTCCCCTATTACCGGCAACGGGGTGGGCGCAGTTTTCTGGTGATGCGTCCAGCCCATGGGCCGGCAGTTAGACACCCCTATTGTAGAGATTATCCATTGTTTTTGTCTATTGTTTTTGCCTATTGTTCCTAATAGCCTAATTTTAGTGCTTTCATTAATTAAGATTGTGGGATACCTGTGCTTTGTAATATATTTGTTTGTTCCCTTTTGAAATACTTTCATAATTCAGTGCCATAGTGCAGGGCTTTTCAACCTTTTCATCCATTGTATCACTTTTCGGATAAGGCAATATCTGAGTACCACCAGTCGCCCAGCAAGGTATCAAAAACCTGACCCCCCCCCCAAAAAAAGGAAAAAAATGAGAAAATACAGGTAGTCCTCGCTTGGTGACTGTTTGAAGTTACAAGTGAATTATGACCATTTTTCACACTTATGACTGTTGCAGCATCCCCAGGGTCTTGTGATTTACATTTGGATGCTTGGCAACTGATTCATACTTATGATGTTCACAGTGTCCCAAGGTCATGTGATCAATGGTGGGGGCGTGGCCAGCTGATCACTCAGGTTGCAGGGTGCCTCTGGGGGGGGGAATCTGTGGGTCTCTGGTGGAGGGGGATGCGACTGGGGCGGATGCCTACCTTCCTTCCCTCCCATTGTCCTTTCCTTCACCTCCCTTTGTCCCTTCCTCCTTCCCTCCCTCTTTCCCATTGTCCTTTCCTTCCTTCTTTCCTTCCTTTCCTTCACATCCCCCTTTATCCCTTCCTCCTTCCCTCCCTCTCTCCCATTGTCCTTTCTTTCCTTCCTTTCTTTCACCATTGTCCCTTCCTTCTTTCCTTCCTTTCCTTCACCTCCCTCTTTGTCCCTTCCTCCTTCCCTCCCTCTCTCCCATTGTCCCTACCTTCCTTCTTTCCTTCACCTCCCTCTTTGTCCCTTCCTCCTTCCCTCCCTCTTTCCCATTGTCCCTTTCCTTCCTTTCCTTCACCTCCCTCTTTGTCCCTTCCTCCTTCCCTCCCTCTCACCCTGTCAAGCCCCCGCGGGCTGGATATGAATGGGCAGGGGGAGGGATCCAGGACGACATGCGGGGCGGCAAAGGAGACCAGCAGCCAGCGCCGTTCTACCTGGCAGCGTGGAGGTGTGCCAACCAACAGCTAAGCGGCTCTTAGCCGCTGAACAGCTGATGGGCGGGAGGCCGAGGCAGGGAGTCAAGGGCCGATGGAGCAGCCTGAAGCTGAAAGGCTCTGTCTCTCAGCCGCCGAACATCTGATGAATGCAAGGCCTGGAGCATAGCTGAATGACGCTCATGGGACTGGAAGACTGCAGCGCTGCAGCTCCCATTGTTCGTCCCTTCCTTCCTTCCTTCCTTCCTTCCTTCCTTCCTTCCTTCCTTCCTTCCTTCCTTCCTTCCTTCCTTCCTTCCTTCCTTCCTTCCTTCCTTCCTTCCTTCCTCGTTCCTTCGTCCTGTGCTACACCGCCCAGACCCAGCCTGGTTTTGGCAGGCAGCAACACATCAGAGCCCAGCCTGTGTGCATGCAGAGGCAGAGGAGAGCACACAGGCAGGGTGGGGATGTGGCCGGTTCACCTCCCGTTTTCAGGCACGTACGTTATGACCCAGCTACTTCTCCCAGTCATTTTTCCCCTGAAGCAGAGAGTCGGAGAGCTGCATCACTCTCACCGTTTGGGCCCTCTACTTTTACGCTCCGGGAGCAGCTTGCCTTTCAAACCTCCGATAATTAACGGAAGGGGAAACCCGCTGCAAAGGCGCATTACCCAAAAACATGAAGGGGGTGGGAGAAAGGCGATCAGTCAGCCAAGAGCCCGGCTGTTTCAGACTTTAAGCCTGCGATACAGGCAACAGAGGGCCAAGCAAAGAAGGTGATCCAAGAAAAGGTTACTTTTTCAAAACTGCCTTAAATGAAGAAGTGACTTCCCCCCTCTCTAATAATTGACTTTCTCCTGGCTTCTCCAGCCTTCCATAGCAGGAAGAGATCAGCCCCAACCGGCTTTTGTTCCCCAAAGGCTAAAGTCAATCGCTCGCTTGTCTGATCCAAGGGGTGCACAGGCACCCCGAGACCCGCTCCAGGCTCCCACTAAGCCACGATTCCCATTTTGTAGAAAAGATGGGGGGGGGGGAGAAAGGAGATCAGTCAGCCAAGAGCCCGGCTGTTTCAGACTTTAAGCCTGCGATACAGGCAACGGCGTGCACTTCTCCCATCCCGGAAGGGGAAACTGACTGATGGGCAGGCAGGCTGGCCATGGTGGAAATGGGGAAGGGTTAAATGCTGTGAAACAGTGGGGGGGGGGAGAGTCAGGTGGGCGCATTTCTCCCTCCATATCTGCATTCTGTTGGCTTTATCTGGCATGCGTCAGTAAGAAGAGGGAGGGGAAGGGCGATACGGATCCCGCTGACTGTGCACGAGAAGAAGGCAATCCGGTTGCTGCACAATGAGTCCCTGGGGAGGGCGGGACCATTAAATTTAAAATATGTTGGTAAACTATTTCACAAATAAATTATGTACAGATAATTTGGTGCTATTCATACCTGCTAAATATACAGTACTATTCAACTCAATCATTTTAAATCAGGCTTTAAATCAAGCTTCAGTGATTTAACTACTTTTCCTTTATTTTAGAACTGCAGTGTTCTACTAAAGTCATAAAAGCAGGAAAGTTGAAGATAAAGAAACCCAGTAAGGCATGTATTGATACAATTTAAGTTAAATATTCTGTTATTAAAAATTCAGTTATTGTGTGTATATTTATATTCTGATTTTCATTATAAAATGTATATAGTTACCTTAAACTGTTTGTCCACTGTTTTTAATTACAAAATAATTTTAAAAGGCTTGAGTGTATTCACAAGATTTATATTTATGAAAAAGGCTAGTATTTTTATTGTAGCTAAGTGCTAGAATTGTTTTAACCATTTATTGATTGGTATTTTTAGAAAAGTATTACATCCAGGTTAGAAGTGTGCTTAAACAAAATAGAAACTTATTAGAATAATCTTTGCATAGTTAGGTATATTCAGAAAATATGGTTCAGGCTGTTAAATTGAAGAAGTCATTCACTACATTAAGTGCTTCTTTAACAGTCTGAAAATGTTTGCTCAAATTATTTTCTTGGAATGGGCTTAAACTACATTTGTCTAATTGTTGCCCCTGACTCTTCCTCCTGTTCAAGAAAATTCTCTCTATATAAGTCTTCCTTTTACACCATTGAGGTCCAAGAGCATTAGTAGATGCTCAACAAACCCGCCCAAAAGAATTTATACTTTGATTTTTAAGTAAACTTTAAAGATTCTGCAGAATGCAATGGGCTTTGTGTTTATAATCTCAGCAATTTTAGAAATATACTGCTCAAAAAAATAAAGGGAACACAAACGTATAGGATCCTATACATTTGTGTTCCCTTTATTTTTTTGAGCAGTATATTTGCAGCAAACAGTATGTACACACATAGTATTTTTATCCACTTTTTTAATGCAAGTATGGCCCTTGTGAATCAAATGCAGTTCATTTAAAGACATGAATTCTAAATTCTGTGTTAGAATTTAAAAATGATCTATTTTTTCTTTTCCTAAAAAATGTGTTTCCTTTCCATATTCCATGTCAATTCCTCATGAGAAAGTATTCTTTATAACTGCACTTTCCTAGTGAGAGTAAAATTTTGGTGCTGTTAGAGTTAATGGATCTGACCTTTTCCAACTGAAGGCTTCCAGAGTTCTATATACCTATTAGCCAACACAGTGCTCAAAAAAGCCAACACACTGCTAGGCTGCATTAACAGGGACGGAATCAAGATCATGTGAAGTGTTAATATCACTTTACAATGCCTTGATAAGGCCACACTTGGAATACTGCATCCAATTTTGGTCATCACTATGTAAAAAAGATGTTGAGATTCTAGAAAGAGTACAGAGAAGAGCAACAAAGATGATCAGGGGACTGAAGGCTAAAACATATAAAAAACGGTTGCTGGAATTGGGTATGCCTAGTTTAATGAAGAGAAGGACAACGGGTGACATGATAGCAGTGTTTCAATATCTCAGGGGTTGCCACAAAGAAAAGGGAGTCAAGCTATTCTCCAAAGCACCTGAAGGCAGGGCAAGAAACGATGGAAACTGATCAAGGAGAAGCAACCTAGAACTGAAGAGAAATTTCCTGACAGTTAGAACAATTAATCAGTGGAACAACATGCCTTCAGAAGCTGTGAATGCTCCAACACTGGAAGTTTTTTAAAAGAGACTGGACTGCCATTTTTCTGAAATGGTATAGAGCAGGGACTAGAAGACCTCCAAGGTCCCTTCCAACTCTAGTATTATTAGTATTGGTATTATTAATATTATTACTATTAGTATTATTAGTATCTCCACTGCTGAAAGAGGAGGACATCCTAATCCCTTAAAGCTCATTTCTCTCTGCTTTGAGAAATGCATTCATAATTTCTTTTATTTACTACTTTGAAATGTAATCATGGCTTCCCCTTTTATGATTATGATTCAGTTACATTTGTCAAAGACATGTACAAAGATCACGTCTGGGCTATTTTAAATAAGAAAGAAAAGAAACATTGTTCTTATTCCTGATGGTTTACTTCAGGTAAACTGCCTTCACCTGTAGTTATGTATTCAATGCTATCAGTCTTTTTTCCCCCTTAATACATCTTTGTAGCAACAAATGAAAAACAACAAGAATAACCCAGTAATTTATTAGGCAGATCAGCAGATGATAAACTGTTTTTTTCCCTCTGGTGTGCTTAAATGTTTTTAGTCACAATGTTTCATTCCATGCAGTATAAATTAATAATAAGGATGTGTCTGGTCACTAATACTGTACTATTTAATATAGAAAACATTCTGGAAAAAAAAGAGAAGCAAATAAAATAGAAAACAAATGCCTCATTAGCTATATTCAGAACAGTCAGAAAACTCAAAATGACACCATTCAGAATGGCTACACTTGGTTTCAGCATATTTGATTCTGATCTAATAGACCAGGGGTGTCAAACTGCCGGCCCGCAGAGCGGTGCATCATGCGGAGGCCGTGCCCACCCCAGCTCCGGCACTGCAAAAAACGTCGCAATATGACATGTCACGTGATGCGGCGAGTTTGACACCTATGTAATAGACTTTTTTTCTTGTCAAGAAATAAGAATGCTGTAATTACTTAATATATTTTTTGTGATTCACAACTGCATATGATTTTAAGGGACTTGACTGCCACTTCTACCATGGCATTTTTTCCAGATTACTATGGCGGTGCTGTTAAATTCAGAAAAATTAATTCAATCCTGCCCATCCCCAAAATCTATGTAGAAAATATGTGAATTTATGCCTTTTTCAAAAGCGGTTTCAGGTTTTAAGTATTACTTCAGTTCTGTTCTTAAATTCTATATTGTCTCTTTTCCTTCTTAGATATACATGTTTTTAAATATATATAACCTTATATGATAAGGGTACATTATACTTAGGACTATTGCAGCATTTCTGCAGTTGCATTGTCAACATTTGGGGGCTTAGCAACCAGTGAGTTTTTATGACTATTACAGAGCCCTGCATTCATGTGATTGTCATTTGCATGCTTCACAGCTGACTTCCACGAAGTAGAGTCAGTGAGAAGCCAGCAGTAAAATTACAAATTTGGTCATATGATGTCTCAGTTAATGACAGTGCTTAACCATTGTGGCAGAAGTGAAGTTGTAAGTCCGTCATGGACCATAATGTAACTCACCATTTAGCAGTGGAGTTGCTAGTCCCAATTGTGGTTGTTAAGTGAGGACTACCTGTATTTGCTGTGCATCTTGTTATCCTGCTGTAATAGTGAGGATTGTTATTAATAATCTTGTTATCTGTAATTCAGTTGCTATAGTGTGATTTCATTGACAATTATGAAAAGTTTCCTGCTTGCTTTTGAATAAATATTGTATGGACAATAAATTGGCTTTTTTGTTCCTGCAGGCAGATTATTTCAATGATGCAACAAATTGGCCAACACCAAGTGAAATTGCAAACTCTGAGGTAAGTTCATTTTTGGGGAAAAAATGCACCACAGCTTTAGTTTTCTATGTCATTTTAGAAATTGTTTGTGTACACTTCTAGAAGAAAGTAAGAATATATACATTTTGCTCCTCTTAGCATGCTACTGGTGGTCCTTCCTGTCTAGAATACTCATAGTTTTATTTCTTTAATTAACCACAGAATCTTTAATTCTTTCACTTTGTGGAAAACTACTGTTTATTTTTTTAAATCTTAGGTGGCAACAGTAATACTTCCACACTGATGGCTTTCTTTTTTCTCTGTACTATACTCTGTTGTTATTAGCCATACAATGCATTTATTTTGAAAGCATATTTATAGTCATATTTATTTACTTTTAATTGGGAGCCGCCCAGAGTTGGTTATAGGATGGGTAGCTATTTAATTTTAAAAAATAAATAAAAATAAAATATCTAGTATGCTTGAAGATAGCTGAAGAAGCTTCTTCTGTGCTTAACAAGGGCAATTAGAAATTATAAAAAATTAAAGCTTTCTGTAATCATTTTGCAGCTAGTCTCTAGTTGCTGATCTTGGTCACTAGCATTTTCTTAGCAAGAGAGCTTAAGCGTCTGTTTTAGAAGTGAACATGAATGGGTAAGAAAGTATTAGTTTAAAAAATGCAAGACCCTACGGCAGGGGTGTCAAACTTGCAACAATACGTGATGTATCGCGACATAATCGTGATTTTTTTTCCATTGCCGTCAATGGGGTGGCCGCGGTTTCGGCATGACGCATCCGGGCCACGGGCCAGTAGTTTGACACCCCTGCCCTACCCTATGTATCTTGTTCCAGTGGTGGGATTCAAATATATGACCAACTAGTTCTCGGTGTGGATGCCGCTTCCGGAAGTCCATTCTGGGCCTGGGCAACAAAAAATTAGCTACCAGTTCTGCCGAAGTGATGCGAACTGGCTGAATCCCACCACTGTCTTGTTCCCACCATGATATGTAAAGAAAAGAATGAATCTTGTTCCCACCATTATATGCAAAGAAAATTAAAATACTGCTCATAGAAAGTTTATACTTAAAGCAGATTTGGAGAAATAATAACTGGGACTTTGTGCAAATTGTCTTTTGGCAAATAAGGGAAATAAGGTCATTTGATTAATAAGAGACAGAAGCACAGATGGAAAAAAATAGGATTTTTAAAAAAATATGATTAAATATAAAAGGCCTCAATTATATGAATATGCTTAAAATTGAGTTCTTACATCCTTTAATATTTTGTTACAGTGTAAAAATGTAAGTAATCAGAATAAAAAAGCTCCAATAAAAAAAGAGAAAGAAGAAAAAAATGAAAAGAAAAATACCAATAAAATAAAGGAAAATTTGGAGATAAATCCAGATATTCATGGAGAAAATGTTAGTGAAGATGAGAGTCCGATTAACAATCAAAAGAAAAAAGGTTAGTCTGGACTAAATTTTATCTAGTTTTTAAGTATGGTAAATGTGCATCCATTTGCAGTTTTTAGCATCTTATCAACTTTATTAATGATTAATTGTCCTGGCCAGAATATTACTACATGTTTTCCTCTCTGTGTATTTAATTGCAACTAATATTTTAGAAATGATTGTATTAGATCTATATTCTCAACAATATTTTACTTTTATATTTTATATTTGAAGGTAATAAGCATAAATGGGTACCACTTCATTTAGAAGATATGAAGCCAGATAACCAAGAAAGGCCAGGATCTCAGAGCAGTTCAAGGTCCCAGCCAGAAACCAGCAAGCTTGTGCCTCACAACAACAGACGCAATGAGGCAAGAACTAGTATGTCACTTACAATTCTGCTGGTTTATCTTGCATATGTAGTTGATGTCTGACTATGGAAACTTCAGTTGTGTAACTGCAGAATTTTATTCTTCTGTTTCCAAAAGGCTGGCGAAGGGATAGGGAAAAGCGAGAAGATCATGATGAAGTTTCGAGTGTGAGAAGCGAAGGTGGCAGTGTTAGAGGATTTTACAGAGGACGAGGGAGAGGCAAGGGAAGAGGAAGAGGACGTGGAAGAGGAAATCCACGAAGTATGGAAATAGAAAATAATTAAGAAAGAATGGTATTGAACATATTAAATTGCAAAACTAGCCATAGTTACATGGGTTGCTTATAATATAATGCCAACTCATGGCTTGTTACATGAATTAATTGTATAAACTGTAATAATGAATAACAATTTGAAATGAGCTTAGAGTTTTAATTTGTGAACAGAGTGCTTGATTCATGTGTAACAAGCAATTATAATCTGTTGCTTAGTAGGACATTATAGGAAATTCGAAATTTGTGAGTGTGATTTAGCAGAGTTTACTCTAAATTCTCATCTTAATCTATTTTATTTATCAGAATGTCTAATTTGCAACATTGTACATTTGCCCAGGTTTTGATATCGAATCTGAAAAAGACTTTGTAACATTTCATTTGAGGAGAGATATAAAAGCCAAGAACACATCAACAGTAAATCAATTAAAACATATTGGATACTAGACTAATAATAGTATGAAAAACTTCTCTAGGAATGAAGTTGGGTATAAAATGATATCCCTCCCTTAGAGAGTCATACTGATCTTTTGTAAAGAGCTTCAGAGCTAGATAATATAATAGAACAAAAAATAGGAATGATTATTGATATACAAAAGCATTCAACGTCCCACTTTTTCTATGTTCAGAAATCTTGGTTCCTCCCCTCTTAAATAGCCACATGATGAAACTGAACTGAGTCGTATACATTTAAGGAAGCTAGTGAAAGAATCTAAGCCATTAATCCTTGCCCTCTGAGAATAAGAGGAATAGTTGGAAATGTATGTATGTATGTATGTATGTATGTATGTTGACAATGACATGTCATTGTTAACTCTTAGCAACCAGAAATAGAAAGAAATAAATTATTTATACTATACAGATGTTTTGCCCTGTGATTTTTTTTCTCGTGTTGAATCAATCAATCAATAAAAGCATTCAAGGGCACTTTTACTTAATCTACTTTTTTCTTCTGCTAATCTTTAAGTGAACCATGACTATTCATGTGGCTACCGAGAACAATATAGTGAAAGGACTGATCCGCCATTTCAGCCAGATCTTAGCACTAATATGATGTATTATTACGATGATGGAACAGGAGTTCAGATGTACTCTGTGGATGAAACATTGCTTAAAGAATACATTAAACGCCAAATGTAAGTAGATTGCTTAATGTATGTGCAACAGAGGGGTGAGGAAGCCAGACTTTAACTAAACTGTCTTTGAAAATCTTGGCTTTTTAATGTATCACTGGAAATCAGTGCTTGTTCTTTTACTCACATTAAGCATTTTCACTATGAATTTTTAAGAAAGATGAATCCTGACACTCTTCATGCTACAAAACTAGTTCTGCAATTTTAGTATGCTTTACCTTATGTATTACAGTATCACAAATTCATATGTCTATAACACTTTGTAATTGTGAAATTATCATGATATAAGATAATTTACTAAAGAGGTTTTGATGGTTAGTTACTATATTGTATTTGAACTGCAAAAAATCAGAATATTTTTATGCATGGATATTATAATTCAATAAAAATAGAAAAAAATCTAAAAGCCCAATCATACCAAAAAACTAATACTGAAGAAAGTCCTATGGATCAGCTGTCAGAGGCAAGGGCTCCCCAAACTTATATTTTATGCTAATCTAAACATTTTTAACTGTTTTTTAGTGAATATTATTTCAGTGTAGAAAACCTGGAAAGAGACTTCTTCTTGAGAAGGAAGATGGACCAGCAAGGATTCTTGCCTATATCTTTGATTGCAAGCTTCCACCGGGTGCAGGCTCTCACTACAAATGTTAACTTAATATTAGAGGTAAATCAATATTTCTAAATAGTAAGAAATATATATTACATTTGCGCCTTTAAAAGACATCTTAACAAAGCATTTTTTTTAATTTGGATGGTTTCTGAAATTGCAATTTGCATTTAAAATACATGGATTGAATTAATGATTAAAACAATTATTTTCTATTAACAATGAATTTATACTTCATATTTTTATAAAAAATATATGAGCGAGATGGATGGCATATAAATTTAAAAATAAAATCTTGCTCAAGAAAATTCAAGCCTAACGTGTCCAACATACCAAGGGAAAATAAAAAAAAGAGATCGAATACTATTAAAATATATTGATTGCTTGTTATAGAAGATCATATTTTCATTATCCGGGTAGCTCTCTTTTACTGACTACTCATTCAATATCCATTCAAAGTTCTGATGGTGGTGAACAAGGGCTACTTAACAACTGATCCTCAAAGTTCTAACCTTTGCAGTGACCCCACAATTATACGATTGCAGTTTGGCAACTAACTCACACTTACTATGATTGCAAAATTCCACAGTTACTTGATCACTATTGATGTCCTTGCCTGCCAACTTCCCCCAAGCAAAGTCAGTGGGGAAGCCAGCAAGAAAGATTAGTAGTCACTCTATTAAGTTCTCATTCTGACCTTCCCAAGCACCATGCCATCCCTCCTTCCTTGTGCTCTCACATCACACCTAAGTTGTCCTTCTCTGTATTTCCCTGTTCTTATATGTGTGCACCCAATTGCATCTTCCCTGGGCCTGCCTACAGGCGAATTCAGTTCTCCTTCTCTGGGCCTCTCTGTGCTCACATGCATACATCCAAGTTCTCCTTCCTTGGGCTTCCCATTTAACAACCTGCACATCTTGGGCAATGTCAGCAACCAGGACTGCCTAAATTGTCATGTGACAATGCCATACAATTTAATGATGGCATATAATTTAATGATGGCAATCCCAGTCCTAATTGCTGTCATAACTCATATATGCTCATATAACCTAAACATTTTAACTGCTTTTAGCAAGTATTATTTTAGTGTAGAAAACCTGGAAAGAGGCTTCTTGAGAAGAAAGATGGACCAGCTGTCATAACTCATATATACTCATATACAGATAATGATCAAAGATTACCTGTAGAAATCAGGAGTGAGACAATTACATATTTCATTTAAAAAAGGAATTCACCAAACTATACATCAAATATTGCTTATAGTTCAGGGAAAAACCAGCTGTTTACAAATGGAAATTTGTTTAACAGATTTTTGCAAAATTCAGAAAATCACATCATCTGGAGAAGTGAAAACAAAAACCATCATGAAAAGATCATTCTTTGTTTTGTAAATATTTGTCTCTAAAAAGAAAGTAAGCAACTTGTATTTTAACCTAATCTTTGTGTAATAAAAGGTAAGGTTCTAGTATTAAGCATCATTGCATTTTATTTACATGCAGGTTAATTAATATGTTTATTTGTATGATACAGGCCTTAAAGGATAGTACTGAAATAGAAATAGTGGATCAGAAGATGAGGAAAAGGATAGAACCAGAAAAATGGCCAATTCCAGGACCCTCTCCACGTAGTCTTACACATACAGACTTTTCTCAGCTTATTAACTGCCCAGAGTTCATACCAGGGCAGATTTTTGATTCACATACAGGTAAGGTAATTTTACTTCTTCAAATTGTATTTTAAGGCTCTGTATTTATAAAGACACAGATATCCCATTTTTATGCAAATGGCTATTTATAAACTAATATTGGCCATTACTGCTTCAGTTTCCAATTTACTTCCATTATTTTTTCCCACTTCTATTCTTGAAGAAATAAAAAGTAAAAAATATAACTAAACTTGAAAGCTATACTCTCTTGCCTTTTATATTTATATACAAGAGGCAGTGTCTATATAAAAGAAATCATGGTATCAATCAGAAACTTCTAACTTTCTGAAAACTTTCCTCTGTGCAATTATCCTTGACTTTAAGAGGAAAATAAGCATATTTTCAATTGTACATTGTCTCAGCTAGAGTTTTGATTGATGACTCTTAAGGCCTCTTTAAGTATTGGTGATGTACAGGGAGTTATTGTATGAGCTTTGGGGCAGACTTAGGATAGCAAAAAAGAAAGAAAACACTGGATTTCTTCTTCATAGATATCTAGTTACACTAAAGCAATTGCTCCAGCTACAGCATTCTTTTAGTTAGTTTCTGAGCATAATTATAAACTGAATTATCTATTTGTATGCCACCTACTTTTAAAGGTGCTGAGTACTTAACAATCAGACACATCATAAAAAACAATCTCTTCTACAATGTCTATGGAGATTCTTAGTAATAATAGTAATAGTAGTAAAGTTGGAAGAGACCTTGGAGGTCATCTAGTCCAACCCCCTGCTCGGGCAGGAAACCCTACACCATTTCGGACAAATGGCTGTCCAGTCTCTTCTTAAAAACTTCCAGTGTTGGAGCATTTACTGCTTCTGGAGGCAAGCTGTTCCACTGATTAATTGTTCTCACTGTCAGGAAGTTTCTCCTTAGTTCTAGGTTGCTTTTTAATGAAGCAACTGGATTTTCTTGTTTTTTCTTTGAAGACGTTTCGCTTCTCATCCAGAAGCTTCTTCAGCTCTGACTGGATGGTGGGGAATGGAAAAATTTATACTCCTTGCAGACAGCTGCTCATTTGCATTCTTTTAGTGAGTTGTTAGTGCTACCTGGAGGCTTATCTGTGTCCTCAGGGTCACCTAAGTGGTGCAAATGTGTGTGGAGCTTTCTTGGAACTGTTGAAAGCACTGTATTCTAGACTGGAGATAGATGATGTCATATCCCTCCCCCTCTGTTGAGAGAGGGCTGTTCAGTTTTTACATAGATGGCCTCTTTGACCCCTCTTTCAAACCATTGATTCTCTCTGTCCAAAATGTGAACGTTGCTGTCTTCAAAAGAGTGTCTTTGTCTTTTAAATGCAGATGAATCTGGTCCTGGTGGGTTTGTTCTGCTATGTTGTGCCATACATTTATGAAGTTGCTGTTTTGTTTCCCCAATGTACAGATCTGTACATGATTCACTGCATTATACTGCATATACCACATTGCTCAGTTTGTGTCAATAAAATCCAGTTGCCTTGTGAAAAAAAGCATCTTTGGGATAACACTTTATATAAAAAAGCCAAACCCATCCAGAAAGAATAACAAAAAATCTTGACAATATCATAAAGGATGAAGTAAAACGAGAAGGGATCAGGAGCAGAGATACTGTTTTCATGATGCACCCCTAGATTCTAATATGTGAAACTTATTCCTCGCAGCACACTTCTTGGATGGATGGAGGGTTTTTATAGCAACAGCTCAAGTAAGAAAAGCTAAATTGTGTTGAGCATTAGGGCCTCAACAAAACAGAGTCATCTCATCTTATCATTTTAATAAAGGCATCTCAGTGCTAAGGAGCCTTCAGTTTCCTTGTCTTTGTAAAGGACTCTTTGCAGATTTTACTCTGCTAGTCATTGCCATCTATAGAGTGCAGTTCTCATCTTCATTTCAAGGCCATTGACCCAGTGCTGTCCAAAGATATTTTCACGGTCATGTGGCCAGCATGACGTTATAGTGCTGCTACTTTCCCACCAAAGTGGTATCCATTTGTCTACTTGCATTTGTATGCTTTCAAACTGCTAGGTTGGCAGAAGCTGAGATGAGGACAGGAGCTCACTCAGGAAACATCATTGTCAGAAAAATCTTGAATATCTGCTTTGTATTCTTTCTTAGCTGTTTTCCCAATAATATTGCATAGTATCTGTTTTGCATCGAATTGAATCATAGGGAGAATAACAGCTGCTTAGGCAAAGTTTCAAAGAGGAATATTGAATTGTATTGAATTGAATTAAATTGAACTGAACTGAACTTTATTTGGCCAAGTATGATTTGACTGTACTGGAGACACATAGAATTTGTCTCTAGTACAGAAGCATTCAGTGTACACGCAAAGCAACAGAATTATCATCATCATCATAAAAACCAATAAGAGGGGGGAGCGAAGAAATTAATAAGAATAAATAATAACACTATAACTACACTACATGGTTAAATAGACATAGGCATTAAACAGTACTGTAAGAATTAGTGGTTCATCAGAGTGATGGCTTGGGATGAATTTGAAATTGATTGCCCTTCAGAACTTCCCATTTCTGTTCCAAACTTAATTCCAAGGCTCCTTAGGCTAGCGGGGGGGGGAGGGGGGAAATCCCAGAAAATCCCTGTTTCTGACTGACAAAAAATTGCCGAACCTTGTTCTGTGTAGTTTGTGTAAGTTAAATACCTTAGCTCAAATTCAGTGATTATGAAGGAACACCCATCCATTATATTGACAACAATAATGAAATGGTTTGCCATCGAAATATTTGAGGATATTTTTGAACTTTGGAGTTTAGTCTATAGTTTTGAGATTTCCTGGTGGTCTCTCAGCCTAGTATTACTTGGGTCTGACGTATTTAGCATTCCATTTCAGATAAGATCATTGATGTACTGCAAGATACTGCCTTTGTGCATTGTTTATGAAAATATGATTTATATCCCACCCTTTTAATCTGATGTTTAAAATCTCATATAGATTAAAATTACAAAATATTAGATTCCAATCATTTAACTGTGAAAAGAGGATGCTTTATAGATTTTTGAAGACTGGACATTTGATGGCCACATGCTATTTTTGAAAGAATGTGTTGTATAGCCTGAGAATAATGGCAAGAGGTGACTTGTTGTATGTGCTAGAAAAATGGGCAATCGAGAGAAAGAATATTTTCAAATGAATTAATACTGCAATTCTTTGCGGTGGTCTTAACGTTGATTAGTGATTGGGTTAACTTAACAAATTCAAATATACTTTCTTTGGAGGGATGGGATTTATTATTTGGATGGCACGCGTATTTAATTTATAATAAAAAGGTGGATAGGGTTTTTAAGTCTCATGTTTTAAGAATTGCTTTATTGCGTGTCTGGAAGAAATATTATAGATTAAATTTTAGAATACCGTTGTGGGGAATTCCTGGGCATGCAATAGAGGGGATAAGGAAAGGAGTGAAAATGGATAGGATTTCTTATAAACAATTGCTCAAGTTGGAAGGGAATAATTGGCAGTTAAAATCTATAGAGGAATTAACGCAAGAAAATATTATTTATTCTTGGTTCCAGTATAGGCAATTATTAGAAAGATGGAGTATAGATCAAAAAGTGGGTTTTACTACGGAAGATATGAATTTGATGAAACAAATTAAAGATCAAAGTCAAACTCATATAAAAAGAGTTTATAATGGTTTAGTGGAATTGGATTCAGAAACAGAATTAGTTAAAGATTGTATGGTTAAATGGGCTCAAAATTTTGAAGAGGCGATTTTATTAGACACATGGGAGATAATTTGGGTGAGGAATGTTAAGTTCACCCAAGCTCAAAATTTACGAGAAAATTTTTATAAAATGTTTTATAGGTGGCACCTTGATCCACAAAAGTTGTCTCGTATGTATCCGAATGTACAGCCCAAATGTTGGAGATGTGGTTGTTTGGATGCAACGTACTATCATATTTGGTGGTCATGTAGAAATATAAAGGCTTTTTGGATTAAGATTTGGTGGAACATTCAGAAGATTTTTAATAGAAGGATAAAATTTACACCACAATTATTTTTGCTAATATTGTAGATTATGACGGCAAAGAGATTATTTTAATGTTGAACTTTATTACGGCGGCAAGGTTATTGGTTGGGCAATATTGGAAGAAAGATTCCTTGCCTACTCTAGAGGAATGGTTTCTTAAAGTTTCTTATTTATCAGAAATGGCAAAAATTTCGGCTTATCTGAAAGACCATTCACAAGAGAGATATAACTCTGTGTAGAAAAGATGGGTTAATTTTGTACAGAATAAATATGGGATTAGAAAATATTATTTAGCTTTTGAATAATTTATAGTTTAATGCGGCTATGGTTGGATTTGTTGTATTGGAGTTAAAGTATTTTTAATTTTTTGGATGTAGGTATAGTTGATTGATGCTCATTTAATTTGTAGGGTTTTGTTTTGTTTTGTTTAACCCTGTATTCAGCTCTGGGAAGGAGAGGGGAGGGTTATGGGGGGTGGGAGGGGGGGAGGTATTTTATTGTAAAAACTTTATAACATTTTCAATTAAAAAAATACTGCAATTCTTAATAGCAGCATTCTGTATTTCAAAATGTTTGGTTTAAGCCAGGAATATACATTGTCTCAACAGGTGCACCAGTATTTTTTGCAACATGTTGAAGGAAAGACATAAAATACGCGTATTGCTAGTGCCAAAAGTGGGCCTAATTTTTACAGGATGGAAAGTTTTAAGAATTGAAATTAATGAGGGTGAAGTTTTTTTCTCTGAGCTTGAGGGTTGGTTTTTGAATGTTTCGTTACCAGACTAGATAACATCTTCAACGGTGTTTAGTGGATGTCAGTGTTCTACGTATATAAGAGCTTCAGATGTGGGAATGTCAAGTGAGGGCCTTGTGATGGGTTAGGTATGAGTCATCAGAAAGATGCTTGTGATGGGGAGGTACTTAAGGTAAGGATCATTGGAGGGTGTGTGAATTAGTGGGTCAGGAGTTATCAGTGGGAGGCTGGTAATGGGTCTTATGATGGGGAGATTATGTCAATTCAGGGTCATTGGAAGGTGAACTGCTGGGGGGGGGGAGAGGATTGAGGGTTGGTGCTGTCTCCAGATGGCTGTTCGATTGATTTGAATTCTGAGGGGTTCATGTGCCGGTTGTAGATCAATGTGTCTGTTGATGTGGAATTGCTTGTGGAGTGCCAGGCTTCAATGAACTCATGAGCATGGCGGGTGGTAGCATGGCTGATGATTTTAGTGTTGCTCCAATTGAACTGGTGTTATTTGGTGCCAATGTGGGTAGCGATTAGGGATTTGGGATTGTGGCATTTGACTGCTAGCTGGTGTTCATGGATCCTGGTTTTTAACTGACATGATGTTTGTCCCACGTAGAAGTGGTTGCAATCATTACAGTTGATTTTGTAGATGACATTGCTTCTTTCACCCTTCTTTGTCTTTTGGTTTTAGATAATTCCTGGTGGAGTGTGGCTGTGGGTTTGTTGGTTATCATTATTCCTAGGGATTGGAGAATTCTGGCTGTCATTTTTGACACCCCTATTGTATATGGTAGGGTTCGTTTTTGTGTGGCAGTCAGCTGTGTGGTGTATGGTGGTTTGGATGCTGTGTGTCAGAATACAAAGTTTTTGGGATAGCCATTATGGAGAAAGACATCAAGCAGCCATTTTTCTTCTGCTTTTCTTAGTGCTGTGGTCCTGCAGTGTGTCCTGGCCCTTCTGAAGAGGGTCTGGACATAGCTTCTTTTGTGTGCGATGCTTGCGAAGCTGAGGATCTGGTCTGTGTGCGTAGGTTTGTGGTAGACGCAGTTTTCCAGTTCTCCATTGTCCAGTCTCCTTATGTCGATGTCAAGGAATGGGAGTCTGTTGTTTGTTTCCTCTTCATGTGTAAATTTGATCCCAGGGAATATGTTGTTAAGTAGGTGGTGTGTTTCTTCAATTTGGGAATGTTTGATGTTGATGAAGCTGTCATCGACGTAATGTGTCCAGAATTTTGGTTGGATGGTGGTAGAGCTGTGGATTCAAGTCTTTGCATGATTGCTTCTGCTATGAGGCCTGATATGAGAGATCCCATCACTGTTGTATGGTTTGTTTAGCCAGGTCGATGTCAATCGTGGTGAAGAGGATGGTGACATCAAAGGAGACCATAATTTCTTCCTTGTTGATCTTGGTGTGTGTGATACATTGGAGAAATTGTTCTGGGGAGTTTATTGAGCGGGTTGAGTCATTGACCAAGTGTCTGAATTTCCTCTGCAGGGATTTTGCTAGTTTGTATGTAGGTGTTCCAGGTAAAGTCACAATTGGGCATAAGGGGATCCCATTCTTGTGTATTTTGAGGAGTCCGTAGAACCTGCGTGTGGAGGAATCTAGTGATTGCATGTGCTTTCTCTCTAGTGTTAGCTGTTTTCCTTTTCCCATTTTTCTTAGGGTGTGTTTTGTAGGATCCCTGTGGATTACTTAGTAGATGTTAGTATCACTGAGATGGTTTTCAGCTTTACGGATGTAGTCAGCTTTGTCCATTACTACCGTCAGTCTGCTTTTGTCTGCCGGTAGAATGACAATACTTTCATCTTGTTTCAGTGTCTATCATGCTCTCTTCTCCTTTTGGCTGAGTGTTTCATTTTGTCTGTTGTGTTGCACATTGGGAATGATTCTTTGTCTGATATCTTCTTGTGTTTCTTGGTCTAGGTCAGGGGTAGGCAACCTTGGTTCTTTTATGACTCCTGGACTTCAACTCCCAGAATTCCTGAGCCAGCACAGCTGGCTCAGGAATTCTGGGAGTTGAATCCAGGAGTCATAAAAGAGCCAAGGTTGTCTACTGCTGGTCTAGGTTGTGTGTTTTTAGAATGAATTCAAGATTGGTGAGGAATTCAATGGGGTCAGTATCTTTGTGGTTGAAATTGAGGCTGTATGTAGGCATGATTAATTAATTGAAATTAATTAACTATGCCTATAATTCTGTCCATAATACCCCCCACTTCCACCCTCACTGTTGAAGAGGCCATATATTTGGCTCTGTCCACATAGTCCAGGATGGGATATTAATGGCGAGGGTGATATTAATGTTTACAAAGCCCAAATCCTGATAGGGTAAGAAAGAATACCAGCACAGATAGGATTTTTAAAATGTGAATTAAAAAATAAAATAAAAAAATCTTGGTTGTTTAATGGAGATACAGAGTTCAAGATTATTGTGTGCCTTTTTCAGCTAGCTGGAACAAATATTGTATACAAAGTACTGGTTTATTTGGGTAGTGATTTTATATTTCCACAACACGCTATTTGAAACATGCTCCGGGCTAGAATATAATCTGCATGACTATATAACATTCAGTATGTCAGTTTGGATTGTATCGTTGTTGTGAGATATAAAGGAGAAAACTTCATTTTGTTTTATCCTTGGTGCCATTATTTGTTGCATATAAAAAAATTAAAACTGAATCTATACAATCATCATATATCTCTTTGAAGTTTAAGATATTTTTACACCAAGTTTATAGTCAGTAGAAAGAACAAAAAATATATACATTTTTATTAATAAATAGATTGATAACAAAAAATGGGCTGATTTTTCCATGCACAGAAAAATATTTTTTCATTTTAGAATCTGCACCAAGTTCTCCAAGAATAGGAAGTCTAAATACTAAGAAAAGCATTGAAACAAGCAATCTTGAAGTAATATCCAAAGGATTATCTACAAGCCTCCCGGATTTGGACTCTGAACCTTGGATAGAAGTTAAAAAACGACATCGTCCCTCCTTAGTTAAGCCAAAGGTAATGCTTAAAATGTTAATTTTAATGTTTGTATTTTTAAAAAATCCCTCCTGTGAATGTGGAGCAAGTCTAGAGAAAATAAGTCATATTTAGACACGAGTCCCAGATAAGTTATTTATGAAATTTTGTCTATATAGCTAACTTATTATGGTTGCCTCGTTACCATATCTAAGATACCACTTAAGTATGGTATGAGATACTTATTTAAGGATTTAAGAAAAAGACATTACATAAGAGAATTAGAAAACAGCGTGATATAATGAGTTATATGCATATGTACCCACTTATACCCAGCCTGATCATTCATTGCTGGTATTCTTCTTTGAATAGACTGTAAAAAGAACTGTGTTTAATTGCTTCTGTGGATAACAGTTGGGGTCTGTCAATTCTTTGCTTCTTAGAAAGGAATGAAACACATCTTAAGATGGTAGCTGCACATCATATGTGAATGCAATTTTGGGAAAGGAGGAAAATAATTTGTAGAATATATTGGCCATAATATTGACATATTTAAGCCCATTAAATACATTGATTTGTACATTCTGTTCTATTTTATTAAGCATGAATGCTAAAATTGCTATTTCTGCTGTTAAATGATCTATTATCTCTCCATGTAAATATTTTTATTTTTGCAAGAATAATAAATAATTTTTGCCTTTTTCAGGAATCTGTGTCTGCACATGAGGAATTGACAAATCAACAACCACCACCATTGTCTTCTGAAGAACAAGAACAGGAAGAACTTGATTTTTTGTTTGATGAAGAGATGGAACAAATAGAAGGCAGGAAGAATACATTCACAGAATGGTCAGAAAGTGATTCAGATTATGAAATTGATGATCAAGACTTAAACAAGATTTTGATTGTGACACAGACCCCACCATATATGAGAAAACATCCTGGAGGAGATCGAACTGGCAACCATGTGTCACGTGCAAAAATTACATCAGAACTTGCCAAAGTTATTAATGATGGATTATACTACTACGAACAGGATTTGTGGATGGAGCAAGGTGAAAATGATTGTATTGTTATGAAGGTAATTATGAGTTTGAACAATGAATATAATATAATTTAATAAATATGGCTATTGACACAACTTTTCAGCACAGTGCATGAAAATATATTTGAAAAATCTGTAACAAATTCTAGTCATAAGTGAAGACTGGGAAGGAAGCTGTTTCAAAATCAAAGTAATAAAAATTCAAAATAAAAAATGATAATTGTCTCTTGAAACTGACTGGAGAACTAAAACAGAGCTTTGAAAATTCATAGTAAAGCTTTTCCCCCAAAATAGTCACAAATGATATATTAACTAGATCAGGGATTTTCAACCAGTGGTACGCGTACCACTAGTGGTACATTAGCACCTGGCAGGTAGTACGCATACGACAGGTTGAACAGCACTGCAAAAAAAATGTAAAAAAAAGTGTAAAACTGGATGAGGTGAAGCAGCAGCAGTGCCGCACAGGCTTGTAGGAAAGTTAGCTGGAACTGCACGTTGCCTGGGTCCTACTGAGAGCCCAGGATCAAAGTTCGCAGCTCCAGCTGATTGGGGAGGGCAGGCGGCCTCACCCAGACTTCAGGCAGAGATTCAGCTGGAGCTGCACGAGGCATTGCCTGCCTGGGTCCTGTGGAGAATCCAGGATCAGCATGCACAGCTCCAGCTGATTGGGGGTAGCAGGCAGCCTCTCACAGTCTTCAGGCAGAGATTCAGCTGGAGCTGCGAGAGGCATTGCCTGGGTCCTGCTGAAGGGGAGAGAAGAAATGATATTAAAGGGGGTGGGGGAAGAGATGATATTAAAGGGAGTGGGGGAAGAGATGATATTAAACGGGGTGGGGGAAGAGATAATATTAAAGGGGGTGAGGGAAGAAATATTAAAGGGGGTGGGGGAAGAGATGATATGAAAGGGGGTAGGGGAAGAGATGTTATTAAAGGGGATGATAGAGGACTACCTGTACTTTATCTCTTTTTTCCAGAGTTTTTTTCTTTTTTGGTTGTCAAGTTTTTGACACCTTGTTAGGCGACTGGTGGTACTTGAATATTGCCATATTCTAAAAGTGGTACAATCGGTGAAAAGGTTGAAAAGCCCTGAACTAGATCATTGGTAGTAATAGATATTGTTTATCCAAATATATAATTATTTCAGAGCTAGGATAAGATGGGAGACAAGAACTTTGTAACATTGCTTTTTTTCTTGGATAATTAGGAGGGTCAGGCTTTTGTCTAAGCTATTCTCTTAATCCTCCAATTTGAGTTATTTTCTTGATGACAGTGGTTTTATATTGAGGACATAGGATATGAATTTGGAAAAACTGAAAACTTCACTCATTACGAGCACTGTAATATTTCAGTTCTCTCTTGCTGGGTGGAATAATTATTTCATATTTTAAATTTATTTTGTAGAAAACTCTTTAAATATTATTATTAGCATTAAATGTATTGTTTATTTTGCATTTTTCCTATGGGCTATTCTTGTTATAGTAAGTTTTACCTATTTCAGCAGGAAGTTGAAAATTTTAAGAAGTTACATCTTATCAGCAAAGAAGAGTTTGACAGTCTTACTCCTGAATATGTAATGGATTCAAATCAGGATGATCCTCCTGGTCCTTCAAAAGGTGTGTATGTCTGATATTACAAAAAAAGGTTACACTATTAAGATGACACTTGGTACGATAAAATATGGGTAAAATTTTAATTTTTTCTCCAGTATTAACATGGTGTTTGAGATATTGCTAACTGATTTTTATCCTGTTCAATTACAAGAGCTTTCTGTATATATGTATTTAGAACATCTGTGTGGAAAGGTTCTTGGTGGAATATTTCATAATTTCTTACAAAACAATTAGCTTTGTTTTGATTTTCAGTACTTCGAATTGTTAAAAAGAATTAGAATTTTTCATAAGCCTATTGCTACTAGACAAAACAGTGTTTCATTTTGAGACAGTGTAGGAAGTAAGCTATGTTAATCTATGGTAGCAAAAAAATCAGAAGTCTAATATCTTCCAACTGTAACTTTTATAAAAAGGCATAAACTTTTACAAGCTGAATTTCATTCCATCAGATACATACAATATTTCATGGCAGTATATAATCAGAGAACATAAATATGAAGTAATGTATGGTTTTTGTAGTTTCCATTATCTGTTTTGTTCTTTGTTCTCTGAGCTTGCTTGTTTTCTTGCAGATATTTCATTAACCTAACTAGGTAACATTATCAGTACTCAGTTCAGCATAGATTAACTCCAAGATCACTTTTGAACAACAATCAAGTAAGCAATACCCCAATCAAGAAACTGCCAAAGAGCCTGTAAGGACCCACCCCACTTTGCATCTTAAGAAGACAGAACTCTTGGAATAGCTCTTCCAACAGGAATCCTTTATTAAGAGAAAATGGTTGCAGGCATGCTAGACAGGACTTGGGGTTCAAGCTCTCCCATTCAAGGTTTTAAGGGGTTCCCCAGTAGTCCCACCCAATCAACCCCCCTTCCAGTGATAGTTTCAAGTATCACAATTCCATCCCCTTTCTTCTTCCGTCTGGATGGAGACTTCAGATAACTACATGAAAGGCAATTACTCTTCTTTGATATGTTAAAGCTTAGAGGCCACAATAAACACACATTCAGTCCTTTGAAGTGTGCTGAAGGAAGTGAGGGCCATAAAGCCCCTTTGCTCTCCCCCTTTTCTCCCTCTTATGGCAGAATCCAGAGAAGGCAGAATTGGGAGTTTCTATGTTTGATAATTAAAGATGAAATATAATTGGATTCTGACATCCGGCCCCTCTTAACAATAAGAGAGATCCACCTGAAAGAAAACACAAGTAAAGAATTTAGTTAGGCTTGTTAGGATACTCTGTGTGAAACTTCTTCAATAGCTTCGGGGCTCTGACGTGACGTTTATGGACCCACTCATTTTGTGAGGCAGGGAGGTGTTTCCAGGCAACTAGGTACTGAGTTGTTCCATGATATCTCCTAGAGTCAAGGATCTCTTTTATTTCGAAGTGTTGTTCCCCCTCCACCATGATTGGAGGTGGTGGGGGGGGGGATTTTGGCCGTAGAGGTGACTGATGCTCTCTTTTCAGCAAGCTGCAATGAAAAACTGGGTGTATTTGCCTGAGGTTTTTGGGTAATTCTAATTCTACTGTTACTGGATTTATGATCCTTTTAATTGGAAAAGGTCCTATATATTTTGGTCCAAGTTTTTTACAGGCTGTAGGGACTTTAGGTATTTTGTAGATAAGTACACCATTTCTCCTATAATGAATGGTGTAGGCTCAACCCTTTTTTTATCGGCTTGTGCTTTGTATGCCCGCCTAGCTTCATCTAGTGATTTTCTGACTATTGGCCAGGTGTTTTGTAGGCTTTCCATCCATTCTTTCAGTGAAGGGATCGTTGGTTCTTTTGGGGTTACCTCTGGCATAGGGTTGAAACTTTGGCCGTTGGCTATTTGAAAAGGAGTGTAGCCTGTGCTGGAGTGGACTGCATTATTTTAGGCAACTTCTGCAAAAGGAAGTAAGTCCGTCCAATCACTCTGTTGGAAATTTAAAAAACATCTCAAATATTGCTCAAGTAACGACTGGCAGCGTTCCGCTTGTCCATCTGTCTGAGGGTGATGGCTAGATGTCAGTCCCTGAGTGGTCCCTAAGAGGGATAAAAATTCCTTCCAAAATGTAGACGTAAATTGCACTCCCCTATCAGAGATGATGCGTTGGGGTGCCCCGTGCAATCTGTAAATGTGCTGAATAAAAAGTTTTGCTAAGGCCTTTGCAGTGGGAATTTTTTGGCAAGGGATAAAGTGCACCTGTTTGGAAAATAGGTCCGTGACTGTCCAGATAACAGTATTCCCCTTGCTTTCAGGCAATTCCACTATAAAATCCATGGCTATTTCCCTCCAGGGGGCTGAGGGACTTGCCACTGGTTGTAACAGCCCTGGCGATTTCCCTTGCAACCTCTTTGCTGATGCACAGGTTGGGCAGCTGGCAACATAACTTTCTATGTCCTTTTTTTATTGATGGCCACCAAAATTGCCGTTTAATTAAGTGTAAAGTTTTTACAAATCCAAAATGCCCTGCTGATTTTGTGTCATGGCAATGGTGCATGAAAGTTAGTCTTTGAGTTGTTGGTATATATAACTTTTCCCCTACCCAAGGCAATCCGTCTCTCATTGTGCACACCTGTTTGTTTTTCTGGAACCAATCATCTGTTTCCAAACTTTTTCTGAATTCAATCCCAGTTTGGCTGTCCAGTTGTGGTTTTATTTTGGCTTGGGTTCTTGTGGTTACTGGCGCTGCCAGTTGTGATTCTGCCAGTATTGGTCTAGAGTCTGTGGTTCGTGCGCTGTTATATTGGGGCATGCGAGATAGTGCATCTGCCAGGAAGTTCTTTCTTCCTGGTAAATGTTTGAGCTTAAATTGGAATTGGTGAAAATGCTGGGACCAGCGGACTTGTTTGGGATTGAGTTTCCTGGAAGTTTTCAGGTCTTCTAAATTTTTGTGATCAGTCCACACCTGGAAGGGGATTTTGTTGCCTTCCAGGAACTGTCGCCACGTGAGTAATGCCCAACGTATCCCATAAGCCTCCTTCTCCCATACGGGCCAGCGCTGTTCTGTTTCCGTGAGTTTCTTAGATGTATATGCACAGGGTTGCAATACTGCATAATCATTTTCTTGTAATAGCACAGCCCCCACTGCCACATCACTTGCATCTGCCTGTATTATGAAGGGCTTGTCCATATCTGGGTGCCTTAGTACTGGTTCGGCAGAAAAAAGTCTCTTTAGTCTCTCAAACGCTGCTTGGCACTCCATTGTCCATATTAGTGGCTGGCTAGGTTTTACTGAGGATGTTCCCTTCGTTTTTAGTAAGTTGGTGAGGGGCAAGGCTATCTGTGCAAATGAGGGGATGAATTGGCGGTAAAAATTTGCAAAGCCCAGGAAACTTTGTAGTTGCTTTCTTGTGCGGGGTGGTGCCCATTCTAATACTGCTCTGACCTTCTCTGGGTCCTTTTCAATGCCCTGTGGGGATATGCGATAGCCTAGGTAGTCTATCCTTTCCTGGTGGAATTCGCATTTTGAGAGTTTGGCATATAGGTGAGCGGCTCGCAGCTTCTTTAAAACCGCTCTGACAAGTTTGACGTGTTCTTCTTTTGTTTCAGTAAAGATAAGAATGTCTTCCAAGTAAACAAGGACCCCCTTAAACAGGTGCTCCCTTAGAACGTCATTGATTAATTGCATAAAGACTGCAGGGCCCCCTTGTAATCCAAATGGCAAGACTTTGAATTGATAGCACCCCATGGGGCAGTTAAATGCAGTCTTCCATTCGTCCCCTTCCTTGATTCTCACGCGATAGTAAGCTTCCCTGAAGTCTAGTTTAGAAAAATTTTTCCCTTTCGATAGGTGTGACAGCATGTCTTTCATGAGGGGCAGCGGGTATAGGTTGCTTTCACTGATTGTGTTCAGGGCCCTATACTCCACGCATAAACGTAAAGAGCCATCCTTCTTCTCTCTAAAAAGGACCGGGGCAGCCACTTTAGGCTTAGCTGGTTCAATGAAACCTCTCTCCAGTTTTTTTTTTATAAATCTTTCCATTTCCTCCTTCTCCTTTGGGCTCATGGAGTATAATCTGGGTTTCGGGAGTTTTGCCCCAGGCTTGAATTCAATGGTACAGTCTGTGGGTCGGTGGGGGGGAAGCTCATTCGCCCTCTCCTCACTGAAGACTTCAGCAAGGTCCCTATATTCCTCTGGTATTTCTGTTAATCTTTTTTTCCTCTCCTATGGATGCTTTTTCTATTCTTGATTCTGGTAGCCTCCCTTGGGGTTTTAAGTCCATAGGGTCCCCCTTCGGGAATTTGATTTCTGTCGTCCTCCAATTTACCCAGGGGTTCCATTTTTTCAACCATTCCATCCCTAGAATCATTGGGCATTCCATACCTGGGTCACCACAAACGTTAAGTCCTCTTCATGGTTGCCCAGGGAGAGGTGTATTGGCAGAGTGGCTAGGGTAGCTGGCACCCCCCCTGCTATGGATCCATCTAGCTGGCCAAATGAGATTGGTTGTTCCCGTCTCCTGGATGGGATGCCCAGATTCCCCACTAGTGTTGGGCTAATGAGGCAGCGGGTGCAGCCAGAGTCTATTCAGGCTTTCACCTTCACAGCTTCGGGCATGGGGGGGATTAATATAGTCACTGTTTTGAAGATGGGTGTGATGCGTCCACTTACCAGGGGTTCGCCTTCCGAGCTGTCCTCTGAGGCATCCACCGTCCCTGTGGTGTAGGCTGGAGTTCTTTCCCCTTGGTGAGCAGAGGTGGGGTTTTCTGCAATTTCCATCATTTTCATGGCTGTTTCTTTTGGCTTAGCTGAATACCCTCTGGTTTTGTTGATTGGGGATCTGTCTGGGTTGTGCTGGGGGGCCTTTGAGCGGCATTCTACAGCTCGATGCCCTTCTCTTCCGCACTTGAAACACCCCATCTGCTTCTTTGCTGTATCCGATGATTTCACCGGTTGGTGTGTCAGCTCAGGCGGGGGGCGGCTCCATTGTTTTCCTCGGCGATGCCTCTTCAATATGTCGATCTCTGCTTCCTCTGCAAAGACGTACCATTCCTCAAGTCGATGTGGGTCTCCTCGGGGCAGGCAAGCATCATATAGATCATAGTTTAGTCCGTCTTTGAAACGGCCAAGGAGGATGTCTTCTGGCCAATTCAGTTTGCTGGCAATGGCTCGGAATTCTTGTGTATAATCAGCCACTGGGCGTTTGCCCTGCCTCATCGTTGTTATTCTTTCACGGGCTTTGCGATCAGCCAGGGGGTCTTCAAACCGTCTTCTCAACGAGGACATGAAACGGTTGAAGTTACTGAGTTCTGTGGCATTGGAGTCATGCAGGTTCACCACCCAATCTGCAGCTGGTCCATCCAGGGCAGATTGCACGATCCGGATGCGGGCTTTGTCGCTGGGGATGTCCTGCCCATATTCCTCCATGTAGCTGAGGACTTGGGTTAGGAAAAACCCAAAGCGTGTTGGCTCCCCTTTGAATTTCACCTCCAACGGTGGACGTCTTGGAATGGATCGGTGCCTCCATTGTGGGTGGTAGTGTCTTCCGTCCAGATTTCCATCTGTGGTCCGGTAGGGGTGGGAGCTCCTGGATCAGTAAATGTCCCTGGGGTTGCAGGTTCCACGTCCCCCTCGGTGTCTCTCCCTTTGTGGCTCCAGGAACTGGGGCGGGCGTATGGCTCAGGAATCTCCTCTCCTAGGGAGCTGAGAGTTCTCTTCATCAGGTCAATAGCTCTCTCTAGGATCCAGTCTGAGTACGGCATACAGCTTCCTCCCTCTTCACTTGCGTGCAGGGATTTCTCCATCTCCTGCTTCCATTCTGGTTGCTTGGTCCCCCGTCTCAGGGTCACTTTTCTTGATTCCTTTCCCCACTCGCTTTTCTTTCCAACGCCCATCGACCAGCGAGGCTTGTGGTCCTGTGTCTCCACCACTTCTTCTTCTGAGAAATCTGGCCTCTCGGATCCCAACATCTGGCAAGTTTCCAACTGGGTCAGCGGCTCTCTTTCCAGGGAGTTTTCTCCCTCTCTTGCTTCGTTGTCTGACATGGTAAATTTTTGCAAAATCCCCCGGCAAGGGTCTACCTTCCAGGTGGATTAATTTTGCAAGTCCTTTCTAATGTAAGGACCCACCCCACTTTGCATCTTAAGAAGACAGAACTCTTGGAATAGCTCTTCCAACAGGAATCCTTTATTAAGAGAAAATGGTTGCAGGCATGCTAGACAGGACTTGGGGTTCAAGCTCTCCCATTCAAGGTTTTAAGGGGTTCCCCAGTAGTCCCACCCAATCAACCCCCCTTCCAGTGATAGTTTCAAGTATCACAATTCCATCCCCTTTCTTCTTCCGTCTGGATGGAGACTTCAGATAACTACATGAAAGGCAATTACTCTTCTTTGATATGTTAAAGCTTAGAGGCCACAATAAACACACATTCAGTCCTTTGAAGTGTGCTGAAGGAAGTGAGGGCCATAAAGCCCCTTTGCTCTCCCCCTTTTCTCCCTCTTATGGCAGAATCCAGAGAAGGCAGAATTGGGAGTTTCTATGTTTGATAATTAAAGATGAAATATAATTGGATTCTGACAGAGCCATTAGTAAACAGCCCAACCAAAGAATCTCTTAAGACCACCCCAACCCACCCAGACAGGCAAGACACCAGAATATAAACTGACAGCAAACAGCACTCCTTACTAGCACTGATGGTGTTACCTAGTTAGGGTAATGAAACGTCTGCAAGAAAACAGGCAAGCTCAGAAAGCACCAAGGACCCCTCACTTAAACCCTGAGTTATAAATATTCTCCTTCATTTTGTTCTTTTTAAATTTAATCTAAACTTAATTTAAACTTCAGTATCTGGTGATATATATTACACGCAAGGAAAAAAAGTTGAATACATAAAGGATAACAAAAATATGCAAAATAAGAGAATAAATAAAAATAGCTCCAATACAGTGCTATTGAGACCACGTAAGATAAAAAAATAGTACTTACTATATATCTATTAATCATAATTTTTCTGATTAGATGTAACTGAAGAGCTGGCTTGTCAATTGTTTGGTGTCCAGGAAATACCTCCAACAACAATGGCTCGCTCACTGCCAACAGCTGTTCCTGAATCTCCTCGAGTTCAACCTACCAGAACACCTAAAACACCTCGTACCCCAAGACTGCAAGATCCTAACAAAACACCAAGATTCTATCCTGTGGTTAAAGAATCAAGAATTATTGATGTTGGGGTAACCAAAACCAAAATGTATTTCTGGATCATAGTAAATTATTGCTATTACCACCAGAGAGCAGTTTTTGAAACACGTTGTATTCCTTGCTAGGTCAAAGCTGCTAAATCTGTTTTGAAAGGCATTGTCAGCTTCCTGTTAAGGCTAGTAGTTCAGTAGTCAGCCACAACCAACTTTATGACCTCATAATGCATATGATATGTAAAGTGAAATTTTATGAAACTGGATTTTAATTAGACTGTGATTCTTCAGAAAAGTGGCTCCAGTCACACCAGGGAAATATAATGCTATATTTTATTTTAGACACGAAGGAAAAGAAAAACACGGCATAGTACCAACCCTCCATTAGAAAGTCATGTTGGCTGGGTAATGGATTCCAAGGATCACAGACCAAGAACATCTTCCATAAGGTAGAAATAATTTATATTGTATTAATAGTCTTAATTTGTGTGGGTTTTTATAGTCACTGATGAAGTTAATTTAATTACTTTCAAAAGTAATTAAATTACTTTCAAAATAAGAAAAGTGGAAGATGAGCTAGAGACTTTCCTAAAAGCCACATATACTCAAAAATATACTCAAGATTCAACCATGGATATTGCTAGAAGTAAATTTGGGCATTATATTCCAGTTAATCTGTGGCAGTTGTAAAGCTGGCAGAAATGAGATGTGACATTTGTTAATTCCCTTTCCACCCTTCATTTGAAGTGTCCTTAGAAGAGTGAAAGCTTACACTATTAGGTGTACAAACAGATAAGGTTTCTTTGGTTCTTTTTTCCTTTTTTATTATTTATCACTTTTATTTTTAAAATGCTTTTCACAGCAAAAAAGGGTTAATTATATCCTGCATTGATCACATATTATATGTCCCATGGGCACTCCACAAAACACTGTAAAAGAAAGCTATGTTCACCTAGAACATTTTTTAAAAATGGAAGAAAAATAGATGTTAAATCCCTCAATTAATTTGCACATTTAAGTAAGTGCAAACACTCACCCCACCCACTGCCCCTGTACATTTTACACAACTTTTATCAATTATTAAGGTAAAGGAATTTTAAAGTAAAACTAACAAAACTGTACATCACCCGCTTGATAAGAAAAATTGCCGAAGTAAAAAATAAGTTTCCACAACTCCAGTATTTATATTTGAGATTAATAACATAAAATGATAAATTATGATGGCTTGCAGTTATAAATTATGTAAGAAGAATGTGAACTATAACTAAAAACTTTCTACCATAGCTGTTTTGTTATGAAATAGTTATGTTGCTATTTTGTGATGAAATGTTTATAGATGTTGACTTTCATTACAAGTTCATTGGAATTGGATGTTTTGAGGGTAGCAGTTGAGTTGCAGTCAGTGTCACTAAACATTTTTCATGTTGTCTGGAGCTAATGCAGTATCACAAAGGCCACATAATAATTGCATTCAAGAATCTAATTCAGTATATACTTCAGGGTTTTCTGGGGAATTGTATTTGTATCATTCAAATGGAAAAGTTATTGTATTAGATTCAAACTTGGTAGCTATTGTATATTGGAATCAATAGTAATCAAGACTAACAAGTATTATTAATTTCAAAAAATATATAATTATTTTAAAGTCTTTATCAAGATACTATGAATTGCAAAAATCAGTGGAAATTTTTCCAGCCCAGATAATTGACAGTGCACATTTTATATGCATATGTTAATTTGCATTGGAAATTTTTCCAATTAACACTTAAAAATGTCCACATGATTTTTTCCCATCCTAAAGTTTTTCCGTATCAAAAGTCTTCATTTAATGACCAGTTGCTTAGTGACTGTCTGAAGTTGTGATAGATCTCCCCACCAACATTTACAACCTGTTTTCAAAGTTCTGACAGACACAGAGAGGGAGATAGAGAGACAGGGATATGTGGTCATGTGGTCTCATTTTGGGTGCTTGGCAACCAGCTCACATGTACATCCATTTGCAGCATCCTGTGGTCATATGAATATGATTTTTGAAGTCTTTCACAGGTTTCAAGCGTTTACTTCAGTTTCCATCAAAAAATGGAAAGTGGACTCATTTAATGGCCACATCTGCTTAATGATCATAGTGTTTGCTTAATGACTCACAGAAACAATCATAAAAATTGGGCATGTGAGCTGCTTAATGATTGCCATGATTACTGGGCTCAATTATGGCCGTACATTGAAGACTACCTATGAGTGGAAAGCAAGCATGTTGGAAAAGAGAAAAAATATTTCTCATGTAACCATATTACTAATAGTAGCTTTCTAAGTTCTAGCACTTTTTGGCATGGGTAAATGCTTACATAGAGAACCAGTTTGGTGTAGAGGGTAAGGCATAAGGCTAGAAACTGGGAGACTCTGAGTTCTAATCCTGACTTGGGCAAAAAGCCATTTGGGTGACCTTAATCAAGTCACTTTCTTTTAGCCCTATGAAGAAGGCAATGGCAAACCACTTGTGAAAGACCTTGCCAAGAAAACCTCAAAGCCTTGTCCAGGCAGTTTCTAAGAACTGTACACGATTGAATGGAAGAAAAAAAAAATCATTCACATAAACTCATGACATAGTTGTATGATCATTCTGAAACTTCAATTTTATGTTGCATTTTACAAAAGGGATTTTTAGAAAAATCTGAAACTTGTTTCATTTCAAATAGCAGTTCAAACGCATCACCACTAGAAGGTGCTCCGCTATCAGGAAGTTATGGATGTACCCCTCATTCACTTCCCAAATTTCAACATCCTTCTCATGAACTTCTGAAGGAAAATGGTTTTACTCAGCAAGTATACCATAAATATCGCCGTAGATGCCTAAATGGTAAAAATCTAATATTTGATATTTTTTAATTGGAAGAAAGAACTTATGTTATTGTATTCATTTATTTATTTAACGTATTCAGAAAGCACCCATCACTCTCATAGTGTTGTATGAGTAAATAGTGTAAATGAACTAATGTTATATTATTTCCAAAAATTGCAGCAAGTTCATTTCAACAAAATGTTGTAAAATGCACTAGGTGAATAAACATTAATTCTTATCTGCTTCTTCACTATATTCCAGTGCTCCTTTTTATTTATCTTTCAGTACTATGGACATTTGTAATGAAATGAAAAAAAAGTTCATTAGTCAATAAATCACAAGCTTTGAATTACTGGCCTTGTTGGGATAATATTAATTTTAATGCATTCATAGATAAATGTGATACATGATTTTAACATTCAGATAATTATTTTCAAATTATTAGCTAGGTTGCTGCCTTTATAATATATTTTAGTATTTGTTTGTCAATTAGAACAGGGCTTTTCAACCTTTTTACCGATTGTACCACTTTTAGGATATGGCAATATTCGAGTACCACCTAGCAAGGTGTCAAAAACTTGATGACCCCCCCTCCCAAAAAAACCTGTTCAAAGTTGCAATTGCACTGAAATGACTTATGACAATTTTTCACACTTATGACCATTGCAGCATGCCCAGGGTCATGTGATTTATATTTGGATGTTTGGCAACTGATTCATATTTATAATGGTCACAGTGTTCCAGGGTCATGTGATCCCCTTCTGCAACCTTTTGACAAGCAAAGTCAGTGGCAGAGCTGCTGCCAAGTGCTAAGGAGGGACTTCCTTTCCTCCCTTCCTTTCCTGCCACCCTTTTTCTCATTCCCATCTCCTTCTGAAGGAAAAATTTGCCCCCCCCATATTTTCCCTCTTCCATATATTAATCAAACAAGGAAAGGCCTCCAGAGACAGAAAAGACAAGCTGCTGAGTGAACTAGCTTAAAAAGGCACATTCCCCTTTAAGAATTAGCTACTGGCTAGAAAGGAAAGTAAGGAGTGCAGCCGGCACTTAAGGAAGAAAAAAAAATGTAAGTACTGGCTGCCGGCTAAGGCAGCCTCCCCAAATGGCTCCATTCATAAGTAAAGGAATGCTACAGGCAAAATCCATTCAGGAGAAAAATACTTCAAAATCCCTTGCAGCAAAACTTACAGCTAACAACAGCAGAGCAATAGACGCTAACACGAGACATCAGCCATCAGCCAAATAGAAATTGCCAAACACTCCTTAAGAAAACAAAGCCCTCATTGCACAAATCCCAGAACTTCAAAGTCACAAAAGCACATAAGAATCCTTCCACCCTCCATCTCCTTCCCTCCTCAGTGCCTCACTTCCAGCCATTGCTGCCATTTTTCATTCCTCTTGGAGGGTGACCCCTCCCCGCTGCATTTCTTACCTGTTTGCTGCTGCCAGCACAGGTGGCTGCCACAGCAGTTGTAGATGGGCTCATGGCCAGCCTGCTTGATCTCCTCTCCCCCTCCTTCGGTGCAGCTGACTCTGCCTCTTCCCAAGGCTGCTGCTTTTTTTCTCTCTCCCTCTCCTACCCAAACTGCCTCCTTTTATAGGCTCTCCTCTCCTTTTATAGGACTCTCTCCCTGCAAGTCCTTGCCTGTTCTGGCTCTTTCCCTCCCCCACTACACTTGGCTAGGCAGGGCTGCGTACCACTTGCCGCTCATTAATGTACCACAAGTGGTACACATACCACCGGTTGAAAAGCCCTGAATTAAAGGAAATATACTTTAATTCTAAACAGGTTATCTCATACCATTACCTTTTCCCCCCCTTTTCTCTCTAGAAAGAAAACGGTTGGGAATTGGCCAGTCTCAAGAAATGAACACACTCTTTCGTTTTTGGTCTTTTTTTCTCAGAGACCACTTTAATAAGAAAATGTATGAAGAATTCAGGCAACTAGCTCTAGATGATGCAAGAGAACATTATAGGTAATGCTAAATGTTTTGTAGTTTTCTAAAATTATACACAGTTCATAATTGCATATAGAACAGTATTAGTAGTACTGGTGTGATGTTTTAGTATTAAAATAGAATAGCTCTTCCAGCAGAGAAAAGTAACAGGAATTATTTTCCACATTACACAAGCTATGTGTTAAGTATTAGGAATAATAAAAATAATCCGATAGACAATTGGATCCCACCTTGCTCTATTTTGCTCCTGACTAGCATTTTTTTTTAAAAAAATACAAGCAGTTGAATCTCAAAGTATAAATATGTTAAAGAATTTGCCTTGCTTTGAGCAAAAAATAACAAAATGAAACATTTCCTGGTTCTAACTTTTCTCTTCAGGTTTAGTTGTGTTAATCAATCCGACAGTTGGACTAAATGGCAAGGATCTGTTTTCTCTTTTCTAAGAGAGATTACCAAGGTATTTTGGGATAATGGATATATAGGAATGAAATAATAATAATGATGATGATGATAATAATGATAAAGTTGTAAGGGACCTTGGAGGTCATCTAGTCCAACCCCCTGCTCAGGCAGGAAACCCTATACCATTTCAGACAAATGGCTGTCCAGTCTCTTCTTAAAATCTTCCAGTGTTGGAGCATTCACCGCTTCTGGAGGCAGGTTGTTCCACAGGTTAATTGTTCTGGCTGTCAGGAAGTTTCTCCTTAGTTCTAGGTTGCTTCTCTCTTTGGTTAGTTTCCACCCGTTGCTTCTTGTCGTGCCTTCAGGCGCTTTGGAAAATAGCTTGACTCCCTCTTCTTTGTGGCAGCTCCTGAGATATTGGAACACTGCTATCATGGCCCCCCTTGTCCTTCTCTTCGTTAAACTAGACATACCCAATTCCATCAATCTTTCCTTATATGTTTTAGCCTCCAGTCCCCTAATCATCTTTGTTGCTCTTCTCTGTACTCTTTCTAGAGTCTCAACATCTTTTTTTGTTCTAGCAACTCCTAAGGCTGAGAATGTTTTTAAACTCATTGTTTATATGTTTGTCCAATCTTCTTTAAACTAGGGGAAATTCAAATATTAATTGTACTCTATATGAACATTATTCCTCATCTTGCCTCCTTGCTCAATGCTGTTAAATTGCCCTCAGTTGTTAGCATTTTAATACTGTTAAGAGCGATGTTTTTTCTTTCTATTTATATATATTAAGGCCATTTATAATTTTGCTTTTTTCTACTTGTGTTTTTTAAACGATTCTTTAATTTTTGAATATTTTTTTTCTTTTTGAATTCACTAGTTCTATAACTTTAACTATTATAACTAATTCTATTTGTCTGAAATGTTATAGATTTGTGTGAAATATTATAGGGTTTCCTGCTTGAGCAGAGATTGGACTAGAAGATATCCAAGGTCCCTTCCAACTCTTGTTATTCTGTTATAACTTTTAGAAATAGGTTGATACTGTAGAATGGTATATGGCATTCCTAATGTATTCACATTATACTTTTATATAAAGGCATTCTAGGGCTGATACATTTTATCATAAAGTTCCTAGTATGTAACAATAGCTGTTTTTCTTCTACTGTTGTAAATGAATCTTTCAAATTTTTAATTCTTGGGTTCAGAACTGTACTACTAATACATTTCATGTCTAGATTATCCTGCCTAATGTGCATAACTTCATTTTAAATCTAATTTGCTGTAAATTTTATAAATTATTCCCCTATAAGCCATATAGTCAGACTCTGAGCAATAGTACAGATTCAAAGGTGATTCTAAGAATCCCAGTCCTTTTTTCACTCCATTTTGAAAATTCAGTTGATCAGTTCCCACATTGTTTTTTCTTTAGTTCTTCAACAATTTAACAAGCTATTTGACTTGTTACCATTCCTCTCCTGATGTCTTGGCACAGAAATGATGCAATAAACACACACACATCTTTTCCTTAACCGAGTTATAAATTCGCCACCTTTTCTGAAAGCTGTCATTTTTAACCCAAAGGTGCTTTCTTTCAAAAGGCAACTAGACTTTTTTGTTTTGCTTGAAGGCATTTTGCTTCTCATCCAAGAAGCTTCCTGGATGAGAAGTGAAATGTCTTCAAGCAAAATAAAGAAGTCCAGTTGCCTTTTGAAAGGAAGCACCTTTGGGACAATCGTGACCTGGATGACTGAGAATCTCCATAGACATCTGTCATTTTTAAGCATCTTTGTATATTAGTATCATCTTTTTAAAAATAATGACCTGCTTTGCACATAATTTGAAGGCACAATGAGGGTTCATAATACTAAAGATCGTCTCAGCCTTCCATCTTTCCATGGTTGGTAAAATGAGAACCCAAATTGTTGGAGATAATATGCTGACATTTATAAACTGCTCAGAGAGTGCTGTCAAAGCACTATGGAGCGGTATATGAGTTTAAGAGCTATTGCTAGCACTATTGCTAAATCATAATGTAATTAATTTGTAGTGGAACATTTTATGTATGAACATGATATAAGATAAACTAGAATTAAAAAACAGTGATTTTTTTTTGCAACAAAGGAATTAAGATGGCAGTTTTTTAATGCTCTAATATAGCCCCCGCTACCCCCAGACCATGGACCATTACTGGTCTGCAGTCCGTCACGAGGGGGCAGGTGAGCCCACAAAGCTTCATTTGGTCATGCACAAAAACTATGTTGCATACGAGATCATCCCTTCCCCCACTCCGACTACTGCTGCTGGTCCATGAAGTCAAAAAGGTCTGTAAATTTATTAAAAAGAAAAAACTGAAATATGACATTGGCATAAATATTCAGATCCTTCACTCAGTACTTGTTGAAGTACCTTTCAGATACTACACTTGATATTAGCCAAAAGGCCAAAAAGCAATGGAAAGCTTAAGACCGTATTGGTTGGAAACATGCAGAAGAGGCCTTCATCCTGCAGTGGATAGACAATCGCTAGAATAAACACAAATAAAAAGAACTGTATGCTTTTCTGCTTGTCTACATTATAAGAAAGCAAGAAAAGAAGTCACGTGGAGTCAAATAGACAAGGGCTTGGCAACTGATTCATATTTATAATGGTCACAGTGTTCCAGGGTCATGTGATCCCCTTCTGCAACCTTTTGACAAGCAAAGTCAATGGCAGAGCTGCTGGTGGCCAGGTGGCCAAGTGCTAAGGCGGGACTTCCTTTCCTCCCTCCCTTTCCTGCCTCCCTTTTTCTCATTCCCATCTCCTTCTGAAGGAAGAATTTGCCCTCCCCCCATATTTTCCCTCTTCCATATATTAATCAAACAAGGAAAGGCCTCCAGAGACAGAAAAGACAAGCTGCTGAGTGAACTAGCTTAAAAAGGCACATTCCCCTTTAAGAATTAGCTACTGGCTAGAAAGGAAAGTAAGGAGTGCAGCCGGCACTTAAGGAAGAAAAAAAAATGTAAGTACTGGCTGCCAGCTAAGGCAGCCTCCCCAAATGGCTCCATTCATAAGTAAAGGAATGCTACAGGCAAAATCCATTCAGGAGAAAAATACTTCAAAATCCCTTGCAGCAAAACTTACAGCTAACAACAGCAGAGCAATAGACACTAACACGAGACATCAGCCATCAGCCAAATAGAAATTGCCAAACACTCCTTAAGAAAACAAAGCCCTCATTGCACAAATCCCAGAACTTCAAAGTCACAAAAGCACATAAGAATCCTTCCACCCTCCATCTCCTTCCCTCCTCAGTGCCTCACTTCCAGCCATTGCTGCCATTTTTCATTCCTCTTGGAGGGTGACCCCTCCCCCGCTGCATTTCTTGCCTGTTTGCTGCTGCCAGCACAGGTGGCTGCCACAGCAGTTGTAGATGGGCTCATGGCCAGCCTGCTTGATCTCCTCTCCCCCTCCTTCTTCCCATTTGGTGGAGCTGACTCTGCCTCCTCCCAAGGCTGCTGCTTTTTTTCTCTGTCCCTCTCCTGCCCAAACTACTCCTTTTATAGGCTATCCTGTCTCCGCTCCCCTCCTCCTTTCTCATGGTGCAGAGTGAGCCAGAAGTGAGCCTGGGGCCTTTGCAGCTCCAGAGGACTCTCTCATTGCAAGTCCTTTCCTGTGCTGGCTCTTTCCCTCCCCCACTACACTTGGCTTGGCAGGGCTGCGTACCACTTGCCACTCATTAATGTACCACAAGTGGTACGTGTACCACCGGTTGAAAAGCCCTGAAATAGACTATTTATTCCTTGGTTTTTTAGGTACGGCCTGGAATGCTTGTTCCGTTTTTATAGTTATGGGCTGGAAAAGAAGTTCAGGCAAGAGATCTTCAAAGATTTCCAAGAAGAAACAAAAAGAGATTATGAATCTGGTAATGCGTTTTTATATTTTTTCCCATGATATTGTTTAACTTCCTGCTTCATATTTTTATATGCTAATTATTCTTTTTTAGGCCAACTTTATGGGCTAGAAAAATTTTGGGCTTATCTGAAGTATTCACAGTCTAAAAGTCCACCTATTGATCCCAAACTTCAGGAATACCTATGCAATTTTAAAAGATTGGAAGATTTCAGAGTTGATGTAAGTGTTGACATTCTCTCAAACGAATTAATTTAAATAAACTGTAAGCATGATTTGTTTAAAAGAACAAAAAGGAGAAGGACCAATACCATCATCATTAAATGTACCTATAATCCATCCTGTGCATACCTGAAATACCAGATGGAGACTATTGTACAAGAACAAAGAATGACAATGTGTACAAAGATTAAATTTTTGATATTTTCTCATTGTGGCACTGGGCTATCCCTTCAGTTGTTTTTGGTAAATACATTAAAATTCAAAATATTGAGAACTTAAAAAATAATATCATGAGTTCTTATAGAGCCTTCTGGTAAATTGTAACAAGATGCCCTTTCTCTGCTTTAGCCTCCCATTAATGAAGAATCTGGGAGAAAAAGGCATTTACCTGGTGAGGAAAGTGATCATCGCAGACATCAATCCAACACTGCTTCCAAGATCCTTGCTGGTAATTCCACAGCTGTGTCTCAGATGTGGGTCCCAATAAATTTTCCCACTACAAATACTGTACAGGAGTTGAATAACAGCATACACCAGAATAGTACTGCCACAAAATCAAGATGTGATATAACTGAGCAGTAGACTTTCAGTAAGCTTGAACCTTAAGATCAACTCCTAATGCCAGTATTTTAGCTCAAGGATCTTCAGGGAGAGCTATTTTAAAGCTTGATTAAAAACAAATGTATAGGAAAAAAAATTGCATCTGCTTTCTGACAAGATTAAATTCCAAGTAAATTCCCTTTCTTCAATTATATTGGGTTCAAGCATCATGAGAAATCCTTGGGAAATACCTGTTAGTCTATGTTGCTATCCCAAGTTACTGTTTACAGCAGCAGCATTCCAATAGTATATACATAAATACTTTGGAATGTCTTACAATCCAGCTCATATTTTTTTGAGGAAGTTGTATTCTTTTTGTAGTGTAGGAATATTTTACTATTAGGTTTTCTATCATTAGTTCTACCTATAAAAGCCAAAAAGAGAAAATATTTTTGAGAGATATACATAATACATGCATTTAAATTGATAAATGCATTTTTCAGTAATAACATACTCTTCCAATACTAGTTCTGAAATCCATTTTGCTTTCTGTTTCTTTTGTTTCAGGGTTTTGAGTTGAGTTTGAGTTTTTAATTTAGGCACAGGTTGTTTTGTTTTAAATTTTTTTAATGCTGATTCTTATTTCTACTTAAGCAAAGTAGTTTGCAAAGAGGATGGATTATGACTGTATTGTCATAAACGTAGTAAATTTTATATATATATATATATATATATATATATATATATATATATATAAGTTTAAGAAAAAGGAGAAAAATTCAAATAGGTCTCTGATCATCCTCCAGTTTGAAGAAATAGTTGTATTTTTCTGTTCAATTTCTTTATTGTATAAGTGACTTGCATTTCTAGGAGAGATTATTTAAGCCATTTAATTGTATTTGACAGTTTTAATTTAAAAGGGATTTAGAAGAAAATGTACTTAGGCTAAAATAATTAATGTCAAAATGGCTTTAATATGGTTAAAATCCCTTATTTTACCTAAGACCAACTGTACTGTAATTGGCCAAAGTGTCACTTTCTTTAAATGTAAATGATTCATTGAATATATATTATTTATGTCAGGAGGTGAAAATTAAAAGGAAGCATCCCTGAAATAACTAATTGTAGTTATTGTGATTTAAATACTTAAGGGAATGGAAATCATTCTTCCATAAAATAGAAGTGGTAGAAATAGATGCATTTGTATTAGATACAGCAAAACAGATACTTAACAGTCTTCAGGTTACTTTCACAAATAAAGCCTATTACTGTTGATGCCTTATTGCTGGGAAATACTCTAAGTGATCCAACATGTAGATTTCTGTGCTGGAAACTATATGAAGTCCATTATATAGTCCTGAAATACTGCTTGAGAATCTGAATTTAACAATTATGAATATATGTGCATATTTAATATGAAGATAAGTGGATTTCCCAGCTATTTCTAATGGAAGCTAGCCTTTAAGAACTGCTCTGTTTTTTGAAGACACTAGGAATTCATGATACCTGTTTTATATAGCATCTTTTCAGTTTGCTGAAGTTCTACAACTCATATCTCTGTTCAATCTATGCCACCTCCTCCAGGAAAATGATGCAGTTGTAAATTTGGATTTAAGCTGTATATAAAAGAATTATATTTACATTCATTTCTTTAAATCAAATGTGTGAATATTAGCTTTTAGTATGCATTTTTTGTGGTATATTTGCAGATTTTATAAAATACAAAAAAAAAAAGCCTATGGTGTAGTATGTGTTCTTAAGCAGTTTTGTTTAATTTAGTATGATAAATTTTTACTATTCTGAATTGAAATGTGTGGGACTGTTTATAGCAATAAATTAAAATAATGTTGAATATCATGATTGTGAAAAATCACGAAAAAGAATCTATGATTTTCCAGATGTTTTTGTGCTATGATTCTTACAGATTCAAGGGTAAGGACTACTGATAGTTCAACAGCATCACTGCACTAGATGAATTGCCCATTGTTCAAGTTAGTTATATATCCTGTTGGCAGTATTGTTCATGTTCTCCAAAAATTTCAGTGAAATGAAATGTAGAAATGAAACTCTGAAGTTGAACTATATAAATTAAATTTGTTCTTAATTATATTTTTAGAATCACATGAGAGGCCATAACAAATATTAGCTTCACTTTGAGTAACAAAACTGTTTTGTTATCCAAATGATAACAGGAGTGAAATGGGATAGAAGAGACTTTTCTAAGTATATTCTTACATTGAGTATTATACATTTTGAAAACTCTCAGCTCTTATTCAGATGTTACCAAGGTTCTAGAATTATTTTTCCTCCCTCTACTGTATCCTTTACTATGGCTTGGATGCAGACAGTTGCTTTGTGTATAAGAGATCCAACATCCAAACTACATCTTGTTGCTGATTTTTTAAAAAAACAATATCTATCTTTTGAATCAAAATTCTGATCTTTTATAAAAATATAATACTGTATAACAAGAGGGAGACTGTATTAAAATAACATGAACACATACAAAGAGAAAATAGGTCATATTGAATTTAAAAGGTACAATGAAATAAAAGGTTAGAGCAAGGTATTCCAAAATTAGAATACCATTGAGAATGCTCTTTTTTACTGTATTTCTCTAAGATGAAAACTATGTGGATGACAATCTTTAGATATCTTAGTTTCAAAATATTATGAATACTATTCACTATTTATCTTGCCTGGGATGAACACAAATTTATTGGCTCTCATGAGGTCCAATAAACAGGCGATATTTAAATTCCTTACCTTTCAAATTCAAATAGCCAAGACACTACTTTCTCTCTTTTTGCTATATATTGCCCTATAGATTTAATTGAAATTAAAATTCTAATTCTAATATTGAAGACATATAATACATGGAATGCTGCCAGTGTAAGACAATTTTATACACAATTATCTTTTTATATAAAGTATAACATAGAAATAGTTTTTACTTAACTTGTTCTACCTTTATCTATTACAGTATTTTCTTCATATTCAGCAGGAAAGTATATAACAATCACAAGATGATGATCCTCATCTCTTTCCTTTTCTTTAGCAGTTTGCAGTCTGTTAGCTAATATTAGGTTGGATTATAGTTGTATAGCTGTCTAGCTTCTTAACAATTATGTGCTTAAGGATCAAAATCAAAATATCTGAATAAAAAATGGGATTCACTCTTTTTTTTAAACTGGAATTTATGTGAATGGCCTCTGAACAATCCATGACCCCCAAAAGTCCCTGCAAGAAAGATCAGACTGCAGGTTATAGATATGGATGGGTTAGGGCAGTGGTGGCGAACCTATGGCACGGGTGCCACAGGTGGCACGCAGAGCCCTCTCTGTGGGCACGTGTGCCTTCGCCCCAAGCCTTCAGCTGGGTTTTATAAAACCTTTTCACTTTAGGCTTCTGCCGCTGTGTGCAAAAAAAAAAAGGGGTTCAATCAATCAATTTCAACTTCTCGCAGGAAAAGATCTCGCAAAGTTGGAATTGATTGAAACTTTTAGTCCCACCCAGTCTGCTGTTACCACTGCAGCCACGCTCACCCAATGGGCCACGCCAACAACCCAGCACCCAACAATACATAGGTGGGTTTTGGGTTGCAGTTTGGGCACTCAGTCTCTAAAAGGTTCACCATCACTGGGTTAGGGGTTCTAAGCTATAAATGCATACTTTTATATTATTTGAAACTCAAAAGATCCTATATACTCCCCTTCCCAATTTCCAGGTTGTAAAGGGAATTAAAAAGTAACATGGCTCATCTCCCAAATCACAAAGAATCTGACTGAAAATATTTGCCCCCACCCACTCCAGTAACATGTCACCAGTCATTTCCCTTACAATCCCTTAGTCACAAAAAGAAAAAAAAATCCCTCAGAAAGATACACTCTTTCTCAGAAAGATACACTGGTTAAAAATGATTGCCTCTACCAATTTGATGGGCTTATCAAAGGGGGAACATTATTTGAAATCCATTTTTATTTCTGTATTGGGTAGAAAGGGTTGAAGTGCTTAAATTTTCTAGCAAAATGTTCATGTGACATATATTCAATTAATATCCCTGAACATTAGGTATATGCTTCAATAAGTTGTTGTTTTAAATACATAAGCTAAACATTCCATAAAAAAAGATTATAGCAATAAAGGATCACAGAAGTGTCTGGATTTTTTGTTGCTGAAAATAATCATTTGGCAGTTGTACATGAGCAAATGGCCTAGGTTTCCTCACAGCTTCTTTTGATAGGCAAAGGTTTCGTAAAATGAACAGTAGCTGGGTAATTTTTCATAGAAAAATTGCTCATAGGCAAATTCTGGAAATGCTTCTTCTGAACTTCTGTTAGGAATGACTGTGGCGTCTCCTGAAAAATCTATTTATGGTGCCATATTTGTCCAAGGAAATTGCAATAGCCAACTTCTTAAATCAATTGGATTTACAGCTATTGAAAGAACTGTAGAATTATAAAAAAAGAACTGCCTAAATAAAAGAAATAAACATATTATGGGATGCACTGGGCCGTACAGTATACAATCACATTAGGTAGGGTTTTTTTTAGTGATTGTAAGAAAACCATTTAATTGAAATATTTTTGCTGATGAGAATTAACACATCTGATTTTCTTTGAGCCACTAGGTTTCCAGGATTGAAACAGCATACAAACTATAATAAGGAAATCATATTCAAGATTTTTTGTAAAAAATACAACCATGTGTTTAGATCTTTTTTCTTTAAAAGACAGCACATAAACTTGGCACTGTTTTTGAAGAAACTAGGATCCAAGGGACATATAAATTTACTATTCATAGTATCCATGGCTGGGATGTATGGGCCTTCTGATCAGATCTGGGCATTTTATGGCCCATAGGCCACATCTGACCTGTGGGTGGTTCCAATCTGGCCCATAGGGCGGAGCATGTGTGTGGTGTCAGAAGGGGGGGGAACAGTGGTGGGCAGGGCAGCATCAGAGTGGGAGGCAGGGTAGCAGCAGCCCTCCACAACAGTCCATTTCTCATGGCCGCTTGGGAAAATTGACCACCCGTTCTGGACATTTTTCCACCTCTAGCTGTGAATGGGGTTGCAAAATTGATATGTAATGTGGAGGTCTTTCGCATATGCTCAACCAAATGGCAACTGTAGCTAGGAAGGTCTTTACTCAGCTCACCTTGTGTCATTTCACCCATTCCCGAACCAGGAGGCCTTTCTCATGATCATTCATGCCTTATTACCTTAGAGAAAGACTATCCTTGAAGACCAATTGGAAAATTAAGCCGATCAAGAAGTGGCAATGACAGCAGTTATATTCATGCCAGAGGAAGGTCACATAGCACTAAAACTGGGAGGGGCTTCAAGGCTGGTATCAATTTAAAGGCAACATGAAATAAACCATTAAAATTATCTGCTAAATTCAATAGTGAAACGTCTCCATTATTCTACTTTGCAAACTGCACTGGTTAGCAGTAGTATTACAGGTGTAATTCAAAGTGCTGGTTATTACCTACAAACCCCTGGTTCTTATAGCACGTTGTATAGTTATTTAGAGAAACCATGTCTCTCTTACTGTCTCTGCCCACCCTGTAAGATTTGACTTGGCATGTTCTGCATCCCATCTTTTGAACAATGTAGCCAGGACGCAATAGGTATGTCTTTTCTGTCACAGCATTGCCTTGGAAATTTGAGTGGTCCTTACCCCCCTCTCCATTATAAATAAGTCTTGAAAACCTGGCTTTTCCCTCACTCTTTGAGTTAAAATGGGCTGTAGATGTTTTTATTTCTGGGATTATCATCTTGCTTTTTTCATTAGTTTGATGTTGCATTTCTTTGATTTTACATTTGTACACCCACCACCAAGAATTGAGAAATTGGGCAACTTAAAAATGTGAAATAGTTCAACTTCCAGGATTCCTGTTATTATCCTTTGCTCTTAAAATTGTTACGAAAATCTCCTCCTCCTAAAGGAAATTCAGCAGTCTGTTTACACACTTTAGACATCTATTTTTAATTCATTACGTGAGGATATGATATATGTGAAGAAATGTGCATAATGGCTGGAGCAGAGGGCCTTCAGAGATGCCAAGCAAAGTGAAGCCTAACAAAATTACTGTCAATACATTTTAAAAGCACAACATTCATTGTCTGCACAAATGCACATATTAAAATGGGCAAAACAGCATGAAGAACAATTATAAAATAACCCCAAATAAAAATCATTAACAGAAAAAAAACACTGTCTACCTCAAATGAGCCGAAGATTTCCTTACGATACTGTTTCCCTATAAGGAAATGAGAAGTACAACACACAATATATCTACAGAACACTTTATTTTTTTTATAAAAGAACACAAATTGTTCATTTCTCAAAACAGATCGCATAATTTCAATTGAATAAAATTTTGGAGTGGAAGAATTATAACTGGCTGATCAATGGAGGCTTAGACATTAAAATAAATGCAACAAAAGGTTCACATCAAAAAAAGGGAGGAACAGTATTTTTCTATAGACACTGTTATCAATAATCACCATTTACAATCCAACCTGAAGGCCAGAACTATTTGGTCATTTGGAACCAGATACTTTTCACGTGTTTTTGTGGAAAATACTCTTAACAGATGGACTGAAGATCACATTTCCCTCTTGCCAGACTCACTGTTTTATTGCATGCTTTTTCTTTTTAATGCTGGATGCCACAACTGGATTAGTGTTCTGACTAGCTTGCAAAACCTGGAAGAAAAGTACTTGCTATATCAAAAAAATAAAAGAAGTGATGCAGTTAATAGGCTAGGAAAGGAGAATGACATATTCACTAAAGCATTTTCAGATATATGTTCTATGCAGATATATGCCACTGTTTTTATTCACCAAAACTGTTATATTTTATGTATTACAATTAATGATGAAATTATTAAAAAAATATTTGGCCAATGGTTTATTTAATACAGTGCAAAAATATTAAATCATTTTCTTTTTTTTTTCTGAAACAAAAGTCCTAGCCACCAATACTAGTTTTTCAGCATCTTCATAAAGTCTGACAGCACATTTGGTATTTTACATGCTTTATTAAAATTGTATTTGTATTTACAGTATCTGTAGGAACCATCCTCCCACTTTTTGTACTCAAGCACGCACATCCATGCATAGCCTCATTTCACAATGATATGAGGTTAGGCTCCTCACCTTTAAGGAGCTCCCTGGGGATGGAAAAAATACTAATTGAGCTTATTTAAAAAGCAAAGGGAGAATGCATTTGGCCATTACACTCTTTAAAGTTTTTGCATGTGTATGTATACAGACACACACACACACATTATTTATATATATATCTATATATATAACACTGTGTATTTCTTTATATTCTATATACAAAATGACATCAATTGTTCCAGTTAACTGACTGTTCTAGCCAATCTTCAATGCTGCTTTTAGTGACTCATATTTTGGGTTTTCCTCTAAAACAATTCAAGTCTAAGTGAAATAAGGCACAAATATTTTGATTCAGGGAAAAAACAAGCATAGAATGCAGATTTCAGATGATAATGTCTGCAAATAAATTCTCTTCTACCTTTAGAGAATTTTATTTGAAACTATGTAATCTGCAGAGCTCTGAAGTAGTTTACTGTCTGAGCAGTCCCATTTATGTTTCAGCCGCTGTGTTAACTATGAATTCCTTAAAAGAACTAGGTTTTCCATTTAGAGCTCAAAGAGTAGAAATTACACATGAAACACATAAGCCTGTAAATAACAAACTGTTCAAAGGCTTCAACGTGCTGCAAGAAATTACTTTCTTTGCATTTTAAATCCCTGGCCCCCATTAATGAAGCCTTTCCAGACATAGATACATTGCAAAAAAAAAAAAAAGGAATAAAGAAAGAATAAATTTTTGGCAGCACAAAGAATGCCTACTAATCAAATCAAATCTTCATCAGGAAAGGATCATATATAAAACAAATCATTTTCTGTAGTAGATGAAGTGTATCCAAGGTATAGGACATTCTTTGATGGGGAATAAAAGATTACAGTTCCAAAGGCCCCTAACTTTGGTGATTTACAAAGTTCAATCTTGTTTAGTGTGATCCTTGGTATCTTCTTCATCTGTATATTCTGATGGTTCCTCTCCTGGCTTTAGAAGTCTACCTACATAGTCATATTTTTCTGGAAAAGACAAAGTATATTATAATACATATTTTAAAAACCAGTGGATATCATACTATTTATTTCATTTGTTGTTTCAAAGCCATCATAAACGTATACATTAATTTCATGGATGTCTTGTTACAGTCTATTTTCTTGAAGTAATGCATCTGTTTTTGTATTGCAAAAGGCACTTTTAAAATGAAAAGGCACTATGTTCCAAAGACACGTGACCATCACAGTTTTTGTCAGTGTAAAGAAAATACTACATGCTCTCCTTTAGTAACTCCACATGAAAGCAATGCAGGGATCTGGATCAGCTAGCGGGATCGTATTAACACAGAGGATACAGAAGCTTCCAGCTTTTCTTTAAGGACTAAATTGAGATTGCACAGACCTCTTGAGTTAATTGACTCAGATATAAGGATAAAAACAAATTGCTATCTTTAAAAGCTTTAAAAGCAGATCTTTGTGATGTAAGGGAATGGAATGGGAAATATAGGATATGTCCCACTTCTCTAGTATCATTCTCAAAAGATTACTTTTGCGCCCCAGTGTAGAAATTTCTGTCATGAGAATGATGGGGAAAGTTCCTACTGGTAAAAAAAAAAAAAAAAAAATCCCTGTCTTACTTGCAGCTGTGACAAGAAGTTATGAAGACAGTATATAATCAAACACTTCTTCTATATCCCATTTCATCTCTTGATGTGTGGGTTTTGGGCTTTTTTGTACCTGATAATAGAAATCTAGTAAAGTTTTCTTCCTATTATTTCTTTATATATAAATACACATACATACACAAACACATACTTGAATTACTCTACTGTAAAAGAGAAGTCACCACTTTTGTAGTAATATGTGTATATAGTAATTTTAAAAACACTGAAGTGTATTTCTATGGCTTGTTTTCCATTTGATGAAAAGAAATCTTTCAATTAAAATAATTACCTTTAAACTGCATTTCCCATTCCCTAACGCTTTCCATTTGCACAGCATTTAAGTCCGATAAATCATCATATTCATCTCTGAGTGCATCTTTATCTAGACAGAAAGTTGCTAGTCCCCTTGAGGCATCTCTCCCAGCAAATATTCCATAAGGACCTTCTGAAAACAGAAAAAATACATTTATAAAACTAAATATATATAATGGTATACTGTTCATTCTTGTCTATACAGAATGACTAAAGCTTTCTTTAAAATAATTAAACTTGAACAATCTATTACATCTTAAAATATAAAATACTTGAATGCTCATACTTTCAATTACCTATTTTCTTTTAATTCCAGAAAATATTTTGAGAAAGATTGACGAATGTTAAACAAAACAACATTTATTGCAATCATGTAAAATGCTGCAGCTATTGCTCTATTTTACCTGGATCTAATATCACTTAACCCCTTTATGGATTACTGCCTTGTTGTGGCGAAGGGGCTTGCGTAACTCAATGAAGCTATAAGCTATGCCGTGCAGGGCCACCCAAGACAGACAGGTTATAGCAGAGAGTTCTGACAAAATGTGATCCACTGGAGAAGGAAATGGCAAACCACTCCAGTATCTTTGCCATGAAAACCCCATGGACAGTACTAAAAGGCAAAAAGATATGACGCTGGAAGATGAGCCCCTCAGGTCGGAAGGTGTCCAATATGCTACTGGGGAAGAGCAGAGGGCTAGTACTAGTAGCGCCAGAAAGAATGAAGCGACTGGGCCAAAGCCGAAAGGACGCTCAGCTGTGGATATATCTGGTGGTGAAAGGAAAGTCCGATGCTGTAAAGATTTTTTCTCCATAGGAACCTGGAATGTAAGATCCATGAATCAAGGCAAGCTAGACATAGTCAAAAAAGAGATGACAAGACTGAACATCGACATCTTAGGAATCAGCGAACTAAAATGGACAGGAATGGGTGAATTTAACTCAGATGACCATCAGGTATACTACTGTGGGCAAGAATCCCTCAGAAGAAATGGAGTAGCCTTCATAGTCAATAAAAGAATAGGAAAAGCAATACTGGGATACAATCCCCAAAATGACAGAATGATCTCAATTCGAATCCAAGGCAAACCATTCAATATCACAATAGTCCAAATCTATGCCCCAACCACTGGTGCTGAAGAGGATGAAATTGACCGGTTCTATGAAGCCCTACAGTACCTTATAGAATTAACACCAAAAAATGATGTCCTTATCATCATGGGGGATTGGAATGCTAAGGTAGGAAGCCAAAAGATAACCGGAATAACAGGCAAGTTTGGCCTTGGAGTACAAAATGAAGCAGGGCACAGGCTAATAGAATTTTGTCAAGAGAATACGATGGTCATAACAAACACTCTTTTCCAACAACCCAAGAGACGGCTCTACACGTGGACGTCACCAGACGGTCAACATAGAAATCAGATTGACTATGTGCTCTGCAGCCAAAGATGGAGAAGCTCTATACCAGTGTTTCCAAACTTGACAATTTTAAGGCATGTGGACTTCAACTCCCAGAATTCCACAGCCAGTGGAATTCTGGGAGTTGAAGTCCACATGCCTTAAAATTGTCAAGTTTGGGAAACACTGCTCTATACAGTCAGTAAAAACAAGACCAGGAGCTGACTGTGGCTCAGATCATGAGCTTCTCGTTGCAAAATTTAGGCTTAAATTGAAAAAAGTAGGGAAAAGCACTAGGCCACTCAGGTATGAACTAAATCATATTCCTGATGAATATACAGTAGAGGTGACAAATAGATTTAAGGAACTGGATCTGATAGACAGAGTGCCTGAAGAACTATGGATGGAAGTTCGCAACATTGTACAAGAGGTAGCAACTAAAACCATCCCAAAGAAAAAGAAATGCAAGAAAGCAAAATGGCTGTCTGAGGAAGCTTTGCAAATAGCTGAGGAAAGAAGGGAAGCGAAAGGCAAAGGAGAAAGAGAAAGATACACCCAATTGAATGCAGAATTCCAGAGAGTAGCTAGAAGAGATAAGAATGCCTTCTTAAATGAACAGTGCAAAGAAATAGAAGAAAACAACAGAATAGGGAGGACCAGAGATCTCTTCAAGAAAATTGGAGATATGAAGGGAACGTTTCATGCAAAGATGGGCATGATAAAGGACCAAAATGGCAGAGACCTAACAGAGGCAGAAGAGATTAAGAAGAGATGGCAAAACTACACAGAAGAACTATACAAGAATGAGCTTAACATCCCAGATAACCACAATGAGATGGTCACTGACCTCGAACCAGACATCCTAGAATGTGAAGTGAAATGGGCCTTAGAAAATCTGAGCAACAACAAAGCTAGTGGAGGTGACAGTATTCCAGCTGAGCTATTCAAAATCTTAAAAGACGATGCAGTAAAAGTGCTACACTCAATTTGCCAGCAAATTTGGAAAACTCAACAGTGGCCACAGGATTGGAAAAGGTCAGTTTACATTCCAATTCCAAAGAAAGGCAATGCCAAAGAATGTTCAAACTATCGCACCATTGCACTCATTTCACATGCTAGTAAAGTTATGCTTAAAATCCTACAAGCTAGACTCCAGCAGTATGTGGATCGAGAACTACCAGAAGTACAGGCAGGATTTCGAAGAGGCAGAGGAACTAGAGATCAAATTGCCAACATACGCTGGATCATGGAGAAAGCTAGGGAGTTCCAGAAAAACATCTACTTCTGCTTCATTGACTACGCAAAAGCCTTTGATTGTGTGGATCACAACAAATTGTGGCAAGTTCTTAAAGAGATTGGAGTACCAGACCATCTCATTTGTCTCTTGAGAAACCTATATGCGGGTCAAGAAGCAACAGTGAGAACCGAACACGGAACCACTGATTGGTTCAAAATTGGAAAAGGAGTCCGGCAAGGCTGTATACTGTCGCCCTGCCTATTTAACTTATATGCAGAGCACATCATGAGAAAGGCAGGGCTAGATGAATCAAAAGTTGGAATTAAGATTGCCGGGAGAAATATCAACAACCTAAGATATGCAGATGATACCACTCTAATGGCAGAAAGTGAAGAGGAACTAAAGAGCCTCTTGATGCGGGTGAAGAAGGAGAGTGCAAAAGTTGGCTTGAAACTCAACATTAAGAAAACCAAAATCATGGCATCCGGCCCTCTCAATTCCTGGCAAATAGATGGGGAAGAAATGGAGGTAGTGACAGATTTTATTTTTCTGGGCTCCAAGATCACCTCAGATGGGGACTGCAGCCAAGAAATTAAAAGACGCTTGCTCCTGGGGAGGAAAGCTATGGCAAATCTAGACAGCATACTAAAAAGCAGAGACATCACCCTGCCAACAAAAGTGCGTATAGTCCAGGCCATGGTTTTCCCAGTTGCAATGTATGGCTGTGAAAGTTGGACCATAAGAAAGGCTGAGCAACAAAGAATTGAGGCCTTTGAACTATGGTGCTGGAGAAGACTCCTGCGAGTCCCTTGGACTGCAAGGCGTTCAAACCGGTCAGTCCTAGAAGAGATCAACCCCGACTGCTCTTTAGAAGGCCAGATCCTGAAGTTGAAACTCAAGTACTTTGGCCACCTAATGAGAAGGAAGGATTCACTGGAGAAGAGCCTAATGCTGGGAAAGATTGAGGGCAATAGAAGAAGGGGACGACAGAGAATGAGATGGCTGGATGGAGTCACTGAAGCAATAGGTGTGAATTTAAATGGACTCCAGAAGATGGTAGAGGACAGGAAGACCTGGAGGAACGTTGTCCATGGGGTCGCGATGGGTCGGACACGACTTTCCAGTTAACAACAACAAAATATCACTTAAGGGATAGTATGGCCAACAAACATGATCCTTCTTCTACAAAACTTATAAGAGTATCCATACAAACAAAGCAGAGTCATTACCACTGATTATATAAAGCAATAACCTACACAGATTTTGCACCAAAACTCTTAAAAGATGTTAAAAAGTATATGAAGGCATTGAACATTTTCATTTAGGTACAAAATTCAAATGAGACGTTATGTTCCCTGAAAAATTGGGGTGTTTCACTGTTTTAAAGAAACTAAAGAAATTTAGCATTCTAACCAGTATTTATCAAATTATCAAAATAATCTTTGGAAATAGCTTATCTGTAATTTGAAGGTTTTATATAACCTTTATATAAAAATAATATAAAGAATTTCATACTAGAAACAACCTTTTTTTATTGAACAAACTCTGTTTACAGGTAGTCTTCAACTTACAATCCTTCATTTAGTGATCGTTCAAAGTTACAACAGCACTCACAAAAGTAAATGACTTTTTCGCACGTTCAACTTTTCCAGCATCTCCTTGGTCACATGATCAAAATTTGGATACTTGGCAACTGGCTCATATTTATGAGAGTTGTAGAGTTGTGGGGTCACGTAATCACCTTTTGCAACCTTCTGACAAGCAAAGTCAATGGAGAAGCCAGATTCACTTAATAAATTTACGAACTTAACTGCAGTGATTCACTTACCAACTGTGGCAATAAAGAATGTAAAAGTGGGTAAAACTCACTTAACAAGTGTCTCGTTTTGCAACGGAAATTTTGGGCTCAATTGTTGTAAGTCGAGGACTATCTGTATTATGTGCTTATATTAAACAGGTTACATAGAGTTATTAATGTATCACTGGATTTCAATATTTCAGTAGAATGCACTTGGGTACTAGACTGACTAAATAATATATGCATATATAACTGTGTATTTATTTGCAGCTTCAAGACAGTGTTCATTCCCTGGACTAGTCTCTACAGTTTTCTTGGCATGTTTTTGGAAGTGGTTTGCCATTGCCTTCTTCATAGGCTGATAGAGGGTGACTGGCACAAGGTGACACTATTGACTTCACGACTAAAATTCATGGTCTCAGTTTCTAATCTAGTTCCTTAATTATTAATCCAAATTGGGTCATTGTGTGGTGTGTGTGTATACACAGATGCACACAAATTATTTGTGCTAAAATGTGAAATGCAAAAATGTATAACTTTTCTGAAATTACTTGTCTCTAATATTGTACAAACTTTGTTTTACAGTAAAGAGGTGTTTCTGCAAATTTAATGGTATTTATGTGCTAAACAATTATAGAACAAATAATGTTAGCATTTCTGTAACAATAAGGGAGCTAACATTTAACTCTTCGTCTTAAAA